AAGGTTGATATCATTGGTATAGTTGTTCCTGTCTTAATAAGACAAATCTGCAATAAGTTTGACTTTGACATATAAATGATCTCATGATCGTTATCAAATCTCAAATCCACGGCGGTCCACAGATTAGGCCCGACATGCATATCAAATTTTGGATACATATTAAGGCCATCATAATTTCCATATAAGAAACCAGCTCTTATTAGATAGTTATTTCCTTTGTTTACTGTCAAATTATAGCAATTTCGTATTCCATCGGGAAAATATCGCAGATCCTTATACTGTCTGTAGGTATAGGTCTCATTATTCCCTGTTTCACCACGTTTACCACTTTGGATGAAATCAACGTCAGATAAGAATGTTAATCCCGTTACTGGATCGGTATACGGAGACTCATTAGGGAGTAAACCGCAATCTAAACTGATGAATCCTGGAAAGACACAAAAGATATAAGCTTAAATAAAGTTTTCCAAATTGAAACGCTGAGATAAGAAAGACCATTAGAAGTGTTAAGAAAGGAGATAATCACTTTTTACTTGAACTAGATCTTTCGGACGGATGTCTATACTATTTTCTTTGGTTTATAGCAAGTATGTATATATTTAGTACAAATTGGCCACCAATCTTGACCACTAGGAGGAGACCAATGAACTATAACCAGGGGGCTACTGATTATATATCTATTTATGTTGGTTACGTCTTCATTCTTTGTGTGCCAAAAAGAATTGAACATGAAACAAAATACATAAATTTACCTAAAAATATAACATATAAAACATGAATGCGCATATACCTTGTTGATCAGGTTGAACTTGAACAATATGTAAAAATGTTAAAGCCCCAATGCTCAACGCCAATAAAAGTTGACGATGACCCTCCATTTTCAAGCTAACTTGCCAATGTTTTGGTACGAAAGAGTTCGACAGGGGTTATCAAGGAAAAGGAAAAAATGCGTGGAATATATAGACTTACTGCAAACCAAAGTTAAACGCTTGAGGTTTGAACACGGTACTTTAATAAGAAAAAGAAAATCTACTTTATTGAAAAATAATTAAATGCTAAGTCAAATCTTACAGGTTGGTGTGGAAAACTCTCTAATGTAATTAGGTCATGTTACTCCTGGCACGTCTCAGGTGTTCTAACGAAAACCAAACGATATATATTTCCTCAACTAGTGGATAAAGGTGAATATTAAATGGTATTTTGATTTTAAAAAGTCTCAAGTCTCACCACATCCATTTTCAAACTAAACCATTAATAAAATAAATCCTTCAAGTAAATGTCCGATTCTTATAACCTAATTTAGTTTCCCCTTTTTCTGCAGATGAAAGGTACACCACACTGTTTTAGTTTCCCCTGTTTTACCGATCCTACAAATCACCACATGATCTTTCTCCGTGTTTTGTCCTCACTCACACTGTTCCGACAATCAATTTCCGGAAGGTCACCCATCATGAAATTGTCCCAGCTCATCAGGACAGTTGACCAAAAAGATAAGTGCACTTTGATGACATAAGTGGCCAAATCAATTTTTTTTTAAACGTTTTTGCATACACCACCATATTATTAAAACTAGAATGTTACAATAATCTACCACATTTCAACAACTGGCATTCAAAATCTACCACATTTCAACAACTGGCATTCAAAATCTACCACAATCTCAAAAACCTTTTAAAATCTACCATATTCCAATAACACATGCAGAATGCTGGACCAAAATACCCCTGAATGGGACACAGTCTATGTCAGGGACAGAGTCTGTGTCAGAGACAGAGACAGTTTCGTCTGGCGCTTCCAAAGAAGGAGCAGGTCTGCCATAAATGATGCACGGTTATTTAAATAATATGTTATATCAGGGACAGGGACAAATTCAGATCGAATGGGTGATATAATTAGATCGAGGACAAGTTCAGATCGAATGGGTAATAGAATTAGATCGGAGACAAGTTCATATCGAATGAGTAATAGAATTAGATCGGGGACAAGTTCATATCGAATGAGTAATATAATTAGATCGGAGACAAGTTCAGATAGAATGGGTAATAGAATTAGATCGGGGACAAGTCAAAACGAATGAGTAATATAATTAGATCAAAAATTGAGCGTGATGATGTTTATCATCCAATTCTCTTGACTGTCCATCGTCAGATGGTGTAGTTTTGTCCCCCAGAGATCTGGATTTACTCGGGGACAATTGAATTTTTTTGTTATTCTGCAATAGAAGGAAAAAAAAATTCAATAATCCGGGTAGGTGAAGACAATAATGCTCAACTAATCTGTGGACCAAAATAGATGGTGAAAAATCTAAATAAAATTCGAAACCCTTACATGAGAACAATTGGTGACAAGAAGTGGGATTCATGATAATAGAGCAAGATGATGAAATCGAGGACAAGATCTAGACGCAATAGAGAATTTCCAGTCGGGGACAAAATCTGGAGACAAAAACGAAAGCGTTTATTATGAGACAAGATCTGAAGAAGAAAAAGAAAGTGAGAGAGAGACGAAAGCGTTGCGTTTTCTCTCAGGGGAATAATGATGTGGGGTTAAAGCGCACAGATCTCAAGAGATGAGAGATTAATAGAGAAGCAAAAAAGTGCAGGTTGTCAAGTCATGAGGGCAAAATGGTAACTTTGCATGTAAATGTGGTATGATTTGAAAGAATGATAGGAATGTGGTAGATTTTGAAAGAAATTAGAAAAAAGTGGTAGATTTTGTAGTTTTTCCTTAATTAAACAAGAACAATATTTAACAGAATTACCTCTGGTATTTTTCTTTAGGAAAATGAGAAATTAAATTAAAAGACACATAGCCTGAATTTTCCTTAATCAGTTTACTCACTTTTACTTAGTGACGGCGATTACAAGATTGCATTTCTCTCGGTGGAAACCTCCTAGCTTAACTACACGAAAATGGGTGTAGGGGATATTATAAAACCCTGACAGCCACCATCCGTGGCCCTATTCCTCTCTCGTCATGTGGGATCCACCCTCGATTGACGGCCGATTCCTTATTCCGTAGACTTTGAAAACTTGTTTACTGATTTAAAATCACCACGTGACATATTTTGTCTTTACTCACATGGTATCTAAAATCACTTTTTGGTAGGTCACATATCCAAAAATCGCACTGCGCAAGCATGTTTAACTTTAAAATTATATGACTATGTATAGCCGAAAAAATAAGTACACTTTGGTGATATAGGTAAATAAATCAATTTTTATACCTTTCCTCATGCATGCACCACCATATTTTCAAAAATCAGGATGTTATATTGATCCCACTAACTGATTACAATATCTAGTTGCTTACCAAGACCTTCCCCCCTTCTGACGGTGTAAACCCACTTGACTTTATACCGTTTTGGTTTGGCCTCTAATACCATTTGTATCCCCTCAATTACCGTTGTATGTAGCTTTTACGCCTTCTCTCATCATGTGGTCTCAATTCTCGTCAATGGCCGATTTGCTATTTCTGAAGGCTTTAAGACTTGTTTACCGACCCTACAAATCACCATGTGATTTATTATACATGATTTTTCCTAACTTATATGATACGGAAAATATATTTCTAGTAGGCCAGTCATCTTGATATTGGTCTAGATTAAACACGCTTAACTTTATAAATTTTTTTGCTTGGTTGACTAAAAAGATAAGTATAATTAAATGACATAAATAGCCAAATTAATTATTCAATTCTTTTAAGTTCTCCTTATATACTATCATATTTCCTAAACTGGTGTTATATTCCACAAATGGTGGCAGTTGGATCGTTAGAATATGTTCGATCATCCATTCCCTACCCCGTCTTAACAAAAGTCATTAGATTACATGACTTTTGTTAATATATATTCAAACTTTAAAGTAGTGATGTGCATGTAACTGAGCGTGGGACACACATTCATGGAGGAAAATATTATATGGTATTTGCACTTCATTTTGAAATGGAACTTTAGAAAATATTGTGAAGTGACTAAGATTTTTTGGGTTATTTTAATTTTCATTTAAAATCGGTACAACTTAGGTAACTTTTCTCCCATAACATATCAATTTTAATTTAAACATCTAAGTATTAAAATATTTCTCTTTTAAATAGACGTTATAGTTGAAAGGTCCATTTTTTTCACCACATCTGCAATTTCATCACCAATAGACGGTGTTATCCTGTGTAATAGGGATTTAGTTATGGTCAGGGTTTGTCGAGCCAAATGATATAAAAAAAGTTTAGCATGGTACTAAAAAATATCACCCACAAACAGGGCCGGTCTTAGGTTTATGGAGGCCTAAAGCATTTTTTAAAAGTGTAAGAATTATCTGAACCTGAAAAAAGAAAAATTGCTAAAAAAAGGGGTAAAAATATTTGTGGTTGCTACCCACGACCCAAGAAGTGACCAAAGCCTACATAACCATCTCAGCTACTTGAAATTATTAGAAATATCTCTCATAAATGTAATATATAAACTGGGGCCTAAAGCACATGCTTTGGCTGTTTTATGGACGGGTCGGGTCTGCCCACAAAACTACGCGTTCACATAACAAAATAAAGATTACTAAACAAATCATGCTTAATGTAATAACTAAATTAAAATGATAAATGAACATAGAAAAGAAAAATAAACTATGTCATATCATTTCTATTTAGGCATTATTTACTTAATTTTTATATTAACTATTACCATTAATTTGCCAAGTTCACCTAATACTTCTTCTAACTAAAATGATGCCCGATTATCCTTTTTGCCTAAGCATTTGCAGAGATCGAATGTTTGATCTACAATCTACTGGAGATTAACACAAATTCATGGAGGAAATATTCTTACACGTTGAGGACTAGATTCAACACCAGATGGATTGGTTTCACGATCTTTTATTAGAATGTGTCAATGAAAGTTGCACATTATTCATTCTTTAATTGTCTTGCTGGAGTTGACTTTTTATTTATTTATTAATGTTTATTCATTCCAGCGTATATCTTATTTACTTATCTTTCGCAATTTCACTAAGCAAACTCTTTGTTTTTGATTTTCATAAAAAACCAGAAATTGATCGAGAGAGAACATGACGAGCCGTCTTTGGTTGGTTATGATTGGAACCTTTGCCGTTATAGTTGGAGCCCAGAAACAAGAAGGTAAAAATAAATCAGCTCTTTCTTGGTTATATATCATATTTTCTAATTATTCCTTTATTTTTTGAATAGGGTTCATCAGTTTGGATTGTGGGTTACCTAGTGGTGAATCTCCTTATGACAATCAGGTAAATGGATTAACATTCACATCAGATTCCAATTTCATCCAGACTGGAAAAATTGGGGAAGTCCAGAAAGATGCCGACAAAGGATTCTTAAGACAGTATACGACTATGAGATACTTTCCAGAAGGAAAACGTAATTGTTATAGTCTGGATGTCAAGCGTGGCACAAATTACCTCATCATTGTTACCTTCGTATATGGAAATTATGATGGTCGTAATCTTGAACCAAACTTCGATATCTATCTTGGTACTGATAAGTGGACAAGAATAGATTTGGAAGGAACGCCATATGGTACGAGACAGGAGATCATACACAAAGTTCAGACAAATTCTTTGGATATTTGTCTTGTTAAAACAGGAATAACCGTGCCACTAATTTCAGCAATAGAACTACGGCCACAGAGAAATGATACTTATGTTACACATTCTGGTTCACTAAGAATGTCTTTCCGTGAGTATCTTACCAATACAACCGGGCAAATAAGGTAAGTCAACTTCGTTTGACACGAATGTGAGTTCTGTCACAATATGCTTTCAATCTGTTCAATGCTTTTGATATTATTTACATGCTAGAATAGGGTTTTCCTTCATACAAAACCACACTTATTAGTGTTTTACTTTTAATCATTTTGGCTTTTTTTTTGGGGATATATTCTGTCTCCTTTAATGTGAGATTTTTGATATTTTATAAAAATTGATAATGATATTACAAACCCTGATCTTAAAATGGTATATCAAATCTATCGATTTTGAAGATGAGGATTCTGGTATATCTACCATATATTTATTGTCACGTCAAAACTAACGAAACATTTAGTTTTGATAAGAATTACATCTCATGTTATTATTAAATCTTTGTAAATCTCAATGTTCAAGAAAGTTCTCTACATAAAAAGTCCTATTTACCAACGAAGTGTTGGCCCAGTGGTAAATCTCCCAGGTGGAGGTACTGAGTTCGACGCCCGTTGGGAGGGATCTCTTCTCTTAAGGAGATGAATTTAATCTGGTGTGGGTCCCGTCTCTGGGAGATGTAGGGCCTTCGGGCTTGAACTTCCAGATATTCCAAAAAAAAAAAAGTCCTATCCAATGATCTTGTTAGATAATCTTACAACAAATCTTTCCTAAATAGAATAATTCGACAATAAGACGTCATTTTGTTCACAATTCAATTTCTATGACTAAACGAGAAATGTTTCTAACTGAGATCCAAGGACTAGAAACTCTAGGTTCTTCCTCCTAATTTGGTCCTTGATTTAAAAACATAACTAAGGAAAGAGACTGTTCCAACATAGATTATGTGTTACACTTGGTAGATTTGTGCACTTTCTCAATTGTTTTAACTTTCTTCTGATTTTTTGTTTTCTTGGCTCAGCCTCGAAGAGACTTCTTCCCTTTTTATCCCCCAATTTGCTGCGCTCTCCTTTACCTAGAAGATTACAAAATGTCCAAATTACCCTTGATGATTATTTCTGTATCTTACAACACTTTCTTGCTATCATGAATACCCTGATCTCATATTTTCAATGATCACCACCTCTCATGTGTCTGTTGGAACTTGTTTTTGACAAAATGGTTTTGACCATTGTTACGGTGGATTTTCCGGTGAAGACGTTCATTGGAATGACCGGTTCTTGGGCACGATGGAATCGTTGCTGCGAGCACTACGTGGCGGTGTATTGGAATGTCAAAAACGGAGTTCGTTTGAATGAGAAATGGAGGTCCAAAGTAACTTGCTTGCATAGCTTGGAATTTTGACTTAAAGTCAAAATTGTATACTTTGGAAGTTAGAGGAGAAATCCAAACATACATGGGTTGGATTTGAGATTTGAAATTTGGGAAATGGGCTTACAACCCATATAATTATTTTATTTTCCCAAATTTATTTTGATTTAAATTAGTGATTAAATCAAAAATATCTACCTTAATGATTGTGTGTAATCAATTGAGACAATTAGGGTCAAAAACGTTTTTGACTTTATCGTGAGATTTAAGTCTCTTGATTCTGTCATTAAGGTGATATATTCTCCTCTTTGATGCCATGGACGTGGAGCTCTTGTGCTATAAAGTCATGGTCATTGTCTCTCATTCTAAGAAAAAACGTTCACCAACATAATCTCCTTCCTCTTCTTCTCTTCTCTAGTTCGAGTCTGAGAGTACAACACAAAGCTAGTGTTCGATTAGCTTTTGATTTGAGTATTGCAATCAAAAGGAGAAACAGTTTTATCCTGGGACTCTAATTGTCATCAAACCGGCACACTACGGGGCGATTTTTGAGTTAAGGAGAGAGATCATCAAAGTTCTCGACTCTGTTTACCACCGTCAATCTCCGTTCCTCAATCATCCTTTTGGTATTGTGGATTTTCGATACTTGTTCAATGTTAATTTCTTACAAATATTAGATTGTGCCCCTGTTGAAATATTCAGGTCCTACAGTGTCTTGATCACTTACACTAGCACGATCTTGAACTTTTTGAACTATTTAAGGACGAAGCATATTTGATCACCATAATGATCTGATTTATGGTGTGAAACTGGGGGGTCACGACACTAAGTGTTGTTCCCGATCCCAGTTTCTACAATCTATGTTGAATACTGATGAACTCAAATTTAAATGATGATTTGATCAAATTTAAACTATCATTGGTTACGTTACATATGACATATCTAGTTTTTGATCAAGCCACAAGAATTGAACGAAATCGCGCGAGGAGCCAAATGGAGTTTTGTTGATGCATATTGTTAGGATTTAAAACCCGGACCTTGAATACGTGTAAAACAATAAATGTATACATAGTGGTTTATCCTAAACAGGCTAAACCATGTCTACTTTCTGCTGGTTCGGAATTCCACTATAATCTAATCTTGAATTTTAGAACATTGTAGTATATTTCCACTATGTCACCAAGAGATTACATTTCACAATTCAACAAATATATTATTAAAAACTTAGAGATTATGCAACTGATTTAGTGTAATAGGATATTCTTGCCTTAGATTATCATAAATAATCCATATTGGGAAAGATAAAAACCTGACAGGTATCTTTTTTTAAAAAAAATATTGCCCCTAAGGAAGTTTAGTAAAACTCAGACAATTGGAGTGGGAAGTTTGTGTAAAAAAGTAGAGTTTGGCCAGAGAAAGAAAACAGAAACAAAGTTGTAAATTCTAGATTTTGATCATAGTGAAATCGGATAAAGTGAGAGGTGAACGTAATTCTTGCAATGACGTTAAATTACTATAAACTCTGTATGTGCTAATTTTCTTAAATTTAATATTTTCCTATTTGAGAAATCTCAAGATAAAAGAGTAACTAAAATTTTTTTGTATGTGCTAATATCAAGTTGAGTAAGAAATATAATATAAGTAATGTTAAGAAATTTAGGATAAATAAAATGAGTAAAATATAATAAGGATTAGTATTGTTCGATAACAGTTATTTGCACATTATGATTTTGTCAATTAGTTTTCCATAATGATAAGGTTTCATCTGCTTAGTTCCTTTTGGCTAATACAATTTACGTGTGGTTGTAGGTATCCTGATGATATTCATGATCGTGTTTGGTTTTCATGGTTCGACGACCCTTATTATAAGGAAGTAACGACCAGTCTCAGTATAAACAACTCAGATACATATGATATACCAAAAACTGTACTTAAAAGTGCTGCCACGCCTAGAAACGCCACTGAGCCATTGTTCATCAACTGGACACCAAGACCCTCTAATGCTCAAGTGTACTTTTACCTTCACTTCGCCGAGATACAAACCCTTGAAGCCAACGAAACGAGGGAATTCGATATTATCTTTGGAGAAAACTTCAACCATTCAGGTTTTCGTCCACTCAAGCTACAGCTAAGTACAGTATACACTGATGCTCCAGTGCAATGTGATTCAGGAGGTTGCAGTTTACAGCTAGTACGAACTTCGAAGTCAACTCTTCCACCTTTGATCAATGCCATTGAGGCGTACACGGTTATGGAATTCTCACAACTGGAAACAAGCCTAAGTGATGGTATATCGCCTTAATTTTCAATTATAACAAGAAATTAACTTCTATTGTTCCGTATGATTTGATTATTTCATTCTTTAATATTTGTGTCAGTTTCTGCTATCAAGAATATCAAAGCTACTTATCAGCTAAGTAAAATCAGTTGGCAAGGAGATCCGTGTCTTCCTCAAGACTTGGGGTGGGAAAATCTAAGATGCACTTATGCAAATGTCTCCACTCCACCAAGAATCACTTCCTTGTAAGACCATTCACAAACACAGTCTCTAATTTAAAACTAACATAATATATCTATTTGGAAGGCCACCCGTGAGTTTCAAAGTGCTTTTGTTCTTGTATAATTAGAAATTTGTCAGAAAGTGGCTTAACGGGGACCATAGCTCCAGTTTTACAGAACCTGACGCAATTAAAAGAACTGTAAGTATTTCTACTGCTTATTAGATAAACCAAGAATGATTTCCTTAGACACGACATATAAGCCAATCTTTTAAATTTCTGCATGCAACCTCAGGGACTTATCTAATAACAACCTGACTGGTCATGTGCCTACTTTTCTTGCCAGCATGAAGTCATTACTTTTAATGTAAGTTTGTAGAAAGCAGAATGAACCTTTTTTACCAAGAGTGTTTTTGTTGGATTTGTGTATGTGTACATACATATAATGGTCTTGTTCGACTCAACAGAAACTTAAATGGGAACAATTTCAATGGTTCAGTTCCTCAAGCTCTCCTTGATAGACAAAAAGATGGACTTGTGTTAAAGTAAGACTCCTTTTTTCGCTCAGCATATATTCATATTCATAAATTCTACTTCTGTTTCTATATCTGTTTTAACATGCATGCTTTATTTTCTTCTACTTCTGTTTCTATATCCTGTTCCAAGGGATTCCAACTTGAAATCCAAACATTTTGCACATTTTACTAGAAACCGACCTCTATCATTTTTATATGGAACCTTCGTATGGGTAAAAGAAATGCATTTGAAGTTAAAACATAAAAAGTTATTTAAGGAAGTTTACGCCAAGTAATTTAACCAAAGATGTGGTCCTTAGATGAGAAAGTATGTGGTGTGCTCTAACAGTTCTCTTATGTTCTTTGTATGGTGCGTTCATTAACAACTTCTATTTTGCATGTTCTTTCAAGGCTTGAAGGAAATCCAGATTTGTGTAAATTTAGTTCATGCAATCCAAAAGAGAAAAAGAGATCTTTGCTACCAGCTATTGCATCATCTGCATCTCTACTTGTTATAGTGGTAGTCATGACCCTTATATTTGTTTTCCGAAAGAAGAAGGTGCCAGATTCAGGTAAATCTTAAGCCATTAACCATTACAAAATGTTGTGAAATCAGTGGATTTATTCAAATCTTTAAATATTTTACTGCGTAGCTCTACACGCTACACCAAGTGTGCCCGTTGCAGATAGTGGGCACACTTATCAGGCAGATTCACCATTCCTATCAAAAAAGATTAGATTTACTTATATTGAGGTTCAAGAAATGACAAATAAATTTGAAAGAGCTCTCGGTGAAGGTGGGTTTGGAGTCGTTTATCATGGTTTTGTTAATGGTACCCAACAAGTAGCTGTTAAATTACTCTCTCAATCATCATCTCAAGGCTATAAGCATTTCAAGGCAGAGGTACTCTTTCTCCTCGTGATCTCGAAAAATCCACTTGATGTGTATATGTATTCCTATCGTGACGAGAATTTAGCTGATTGATGGTTTATTAGGTGGAACTGCTTATGAGAGTTCACCATATTAATTTGGTAAGTCTTGTTGGGTATTGTGATGAAGGCGACCACTTGGCACTCATCTACGAGTACATGCCAAATGGAGACTTAAGACAACATTTGTCAGGTGATAACACATATATTTACTAATATATGTTAAAATCTATATATGATGTATACAGTTTTATATGAGTGGTATGATATTTGTGTCCGATTGATTCAGGAAAGCAAGGAAGATTCGTCCTGAGCTGGGAAAGTAGACTAAAAATAGTTGTGGATGCAGCACTAGGTAAGCACTAAGTTATTCATGTAACTTAAGAAAAATATTTAGCTAAAAACTGTGACTTTCAAATCCAATAGCATTATTTTTGCCTAGTGAAAGGATGGAATGAAAAATAATCTTAAGACATCCTATGAAACACTCCATTTAGTGACTCATTTACTCGAAATATTTTGAATTTATTACGTAGGATTGGAGTATTTACACACTGGATGTAAACCACCAATGGTTCATAGGGATATCAAAACTACCAACATACTTTTAGACCAGCATTTCCAAGCTAAATTAGCCGATTTTGGGCTTTCAAGATCTTTTCCCATCGGAAATGAAACATATGTGTCAACAGTTGTTGCTGGCACTCCTGGATATCTTGATCCTGAGTGAGTAACTTCATAACTTAGTACCCAAATCATTGTCTTTTTTCTACTTAATAATTCACAAACAATATTTGTTTTGCAGATATTATCAAACAAATTGGTTGACAGAAAAGAGTGATATATACAGTTTTGGAATTGTATTGTTGGAGATCATTACAAACCGTCCTATAATTCAGGAATCCCGTGAAAAGCCTCATTTAGTAGAATGGGTCAGCTTTATGATAACAAAGGGAGATCTTAGAAGTATTATGGATCCAAATCTCCACCAAGATTATGACATTGGTTCTGTCTGGAAGGCTATTGAAATAGCAATGTCATGTGTGAGTCTTTCTTCTACTAGAAGACCAAACATGTCTCGGGTTGCAAATGATCTAAAAGAGTGTTTGATATCTGAAAACTCTAGATTAGGAGATGGTCGAGACATGGAGTCAAAAAGTTCTATGGACTTCAGCATGGATACTTACAGCGAGGTGTTCCCTAAAGCCCGCTAGCTCACGAAATGTATCATTGCTCGTTTATTTTCTTATGAATCTTCTAATTTTTATTTCAAGATTTTTGTTGCCAATACTTTTTTTTTGGCTTACTCTGCCGATAATTACTATGGCTTTCATTAATAACATGTGATATTGAAGTTGAAATCCTAGTTTCATGTATATGATGTGAAATCTATGTGGTGAAAATTATTATTAATATATGATGAATTTGCAATACTTTTTTTTTGTTAAAAACATGTAATGACTTGGGAGTTAGGAGTGACATTCTTTCTACATAAAATCATTAAGATGTTAATAAAACATCACAGAAATATTTTATCCGAACTTTGGGCGCATACATAGTTTAAATCTAAGTAGTAGAAACTTTGAAATTCATAGAATTGAATAGAAACATAGTGAAATGTTAAATTGATTGATTATGATGAAATTTATAATACTTGTTTTGATGAAAAACATGTAGTTGATTTAATACACACCAGACAAAAGAAAATGATCATTAAATTAATATGTAAAACAAGATAGTAATAATTTAATTTCTCACACTTTTGCAGTTTTGTAAAACTATATTTCAACTTTCAAGTTTGTAAATTAATTCTGCAAGTTTGTGTAACTACGCCAAATTTGGTTAAGAAAAACTCAACATTAATTTAGACGTTTTATTATTTAAAGTTGACTTCTGCAAATTTCTTTTTAAAATTTTTTGTTTTTATTCACAACTTTTGCAAACTTCAATTTGGAGAATTAATGTGTCAATTGCAAATAGTACCTAAGAAATTACATAAGCTTTTTTTTTGGATGAAATGTGAAATTGATAATTAGTAAAGGAAAATTTAGAAAGAGTTTGAGACAATATATACAAAACCATGGAAGGCAAAACAGAGCAGGGACTAGAGACCAATATTTCTTGATGTGTGCTTCCTCTCATTCTGCTCTCTCCAAAAATAGTATAACGTAGCTTGAAAAGCTAACCACATCAGAATGTAGTGGTTCTTGTCACAAGACAGAGATCAAGCTGCGGAGAGTCTCACTCCAGTCTGGGTCAGCAACGGCCTTCATCAAATTTCCTGAGACTTCTAACCAAACCATGTAAGACTAAGAGCATGCAAAAAAGAGGTGGTCTCTTGACTCATCAGACTCCCCACAAAACAAGCATCTCTGTTGTCACACCCGTATTCCTCAATATGAGACGACGTGCTCCACCTTACTTATTCTTTCATCTATTCTACTTCCTTAATTTAACATTTTATATTTTTTCGAAAATCTTTTCTTTTATTAAAAACTCAATGATAACTTTCTTAAAAATAATCTCATAAATAGTTAAAATCTTTGCTCAAAGGTAAGAAATATAAGAAAATAATGATAAAATCAAATAAACTCGAGGTTCCTAAAATACACCATAAGCGAGACGGACTTATGCGACTAGTCATGATTCTTACCCTAATCTGGAGAAAATGAGGAAAAAAGGGTGAGTAAAGAATTATTCAGTGAGGGGATCTTTTCCACCACCGGAAACGATGACACGATTCTACTACTTCCTCCGTTCTTTTATAAGTGATGTTTTAGGAGAATGCACATAGATTAAGAAATCATTTAATTTTTGTTTATTTCTAAACTAAAACATCATTTATTATCTAATCAACCAACAAAAAAAAATAATTTACAAAATATAAACCGTCAAAACCAATAAAAAAGTAATTAATTTTGCATTGAAAATTGAAAACATCATCTATTTAAAAACAAAATTAGAAGCTTAAAATATCACTTATAAAAAACGGAGGGAATATTAAACAACAATCAACAATTAGCTTGTTCGTTTTCTAGACGCAGCGACTAAGGAGCGACCAAAACATAACAACCGATGGAGAGAAATTTGACATTGAAGATCTTGGATGGGTTATATTTCGGAACGGGTTTATATAAAGGACAGTTTTGAATCAATATTTATAACATTTTAAAATATCATTAACATGCCGCTTTAATACAGGTTAAATCTTCAGTTTATTAACAATTGTCATGTGCACTCGTTGTATACCGTTAATTAATAACAATTGTAAATTATAAAATATAAATATTTTATAAAGAGACACAATTTGCAAAATTTTATATGTACTAACTTTAAAAATAAATCATCCCGCGATGTACCGCAGGTTAAAATCTAGTTAGAAAATATTTCAACAACTGATTCCTGAAACCTTCCTAAAATCGTTAGTGATCTCTATGTTAGAGTGACTATTCTTAATACATAATGGTCAACCATAATTCAAATTTTTGAAAAAAAATCCTAAATATTTTATAGTACTTGAAAAATTTTAATATATTATGAAAGCCACTCGCCAACTTGAAGAATTTCGACCAAGAATCCCTCTTTTAACTTTCAGATGGAAATTAAAATTCCACGGGTGGATTAGCTAAACAAGGTGATTGGTTTTGTTTTGCTAAATAATCTTCCAAACTTTTTTTCTTGATCAAGTTGGACATTGATAGCATGTAATTTTTTATGGTCTCCATATCAAATCAATTAGCAATCTGTGGATCTATATAAATAGTTCGAAGCAGCTCTTATATATGGAATATTTCAAGACAGACAGTTAGACAAAAGCAACTTACCTTATATTGCCATATGAGACGTTAAAATAGAGCCGGAAAGATCTGGTCAGCGAACCAAGACGAGGAACATACGTATCATTTCTCAGTGGTCGGACTTCTATAGTTGATATCAATGGCAAGTATTAAAACCATCATAGTTTCCATAAAAGAATATGGCTGCAATGAGATAAGTTGTGTCACTCGTGACATTTAAATGATAACAATTCCGTCGTCCTTCAGGAAAGCATCTCAAAACCTCATATGGTTTTATGTCTCCTTTCTCGACAGTACCACTGCTTCCCGTCTGAATGAGATCTGAATCCGATGTGAATACTAATCCAGTGCGTGTACTAGTAATAGGAGATTTGTCAATGGGCAGGCCACAAGCCAAACTTATAAATCCTGGTCAAAATTAAAAGTGAACATTAGAGAAAAGAAATAAGATAAATACAAAATTTGTATAAGACTTTTATTAAGCAAAATACCATCTTGTTTCTGCGGTTGAACAAGTTGTACAATGGAGAAGATCTCAATAATGGCAAACAAAAGAAGACTCTTCATTTTCTTACTTTCTGGTTATCAAGAACATAATCAAGAGCAGTGCCTCTTAATGGGTCTTGAGCAAAAGAATACCCGGTCAGCATCTAGAAATGTCAACGCTGCCAGAAATAAAGGATAACTAAAAGCTAAAATTTTAATACTCGGCGATGTCAAATTGGCCTCGAAAATATTCCCTGCCAACATACTCACGTATTTTAAGGGAAATTTGTAAGAATATCTATTTGATTTCTTACCATTGTAAACTATACTTCCAATTTTCTAGTATTTATATACTGTGGTACAAGTAGAACTACCTATCGTGGTCTTGGGTGTTAAGAAGAATGCTGTTCATCAGATGTGTGGTGCATGTAGGACTATTTATCGTAGATGGTAGATCTTTGTAGTGCAGGTAATGTTTTTGATTCTGGAGCCGTCTATATAACTATTCATTGTATTCCAATTGCTACAGGGTGTTCGATTTGCCTTGTGAATGTTAAAAGTTAAAACCATACTCCCTCCGTATTTTAATAATTGTCGTTTTAGAATTTTTATTTTTTTGAATTAGATGTCGTTTTCAAATTTCAATGCAAAATTTCTTACTTTTTAATGTTTTATGATGTCATAAAACATTAAAAAGTAATAAATTTTGCATAGAAATTTGAAAACGACATCCAATTCAAAAAAATAAATTTTCTAAAACGACAATTATTAAAATACGGAGGGAGTATTTTTTTTTATAAAATAAGAAATTATATATATACATTATACTGTAATGATGATGACCTATTAGACAAACAAAATTGTATAAGTCAACAATTTAAACATACATCGACAAAAATTAAATATAACTAAATGATATTTATAAACCCAAACCGATATTTAATCTCGTTTAATCATAAAATCTAAACCCTAACCCTTTCAAATAAACCAAAACCGATATATAATTTCGTTTCAGTGGCAAATTAGATTTTATAATTAAATGAAATTTTTTATTATTATTATTATTACTAGGACTCCGGACCCCCGCGATGTCGCGGGGGAAAATATTTCAAAAATCGTAAAAAAAATATCAAACGAAAATTAATAATAACGATGGTAGATGACTAAATGTTATAACGATTTATAAAATAAACTTAAACTTGCAATTTTTCGTGAAATGAACTAAATGTTGCAATGGTTCAACTAAACGGCTGCGATCGTTTTATGAAAAATTACGATAAAAATATGCAACCGTAAAAAATATTTACTCGGATTGCAACTTTCTCAAAAACATAACGTAAAATATTTTTTTTAGTTTAAAAAGAAATAAATGAAATGTTGCGATATATCAAAAGTTGTAGCGGTTCGTCAAGTTCGTCAAATAAACTAAAGATTACAATGGTTCGTAAAACAAAACCCAAAATTGCAATGATTGGTCAAATAAACCAAATATTTCAACGGTTCAATTAAACGATTACAATCTCATTTAAATGCATTTTGGTAATTAAAAATTAAAAATATTAATTTATGAAAATTTATACCGAAAGACACGACGGTAGATAATTAGATGTTATAGCAATTTAATTTGTAAAATAAACCAAAGGTTGCAATTGAATTGTTCGTGAAATACAAAATAAAATATATAAATCAAAGGTTGCAATCGTTCGTGAAATAAACTAAATATATAAATCAAATGTTACAATTGTTTGTGATATAAACTAAAGGTTGAATTGTTCGTGAAATAAACTAAATATTGCAATAATTCGAATAAAAGGTTGCAACTGTTTATGAAGAGGTACAATAAAAAGAAGCAACCGCAGAAGATATTCGGATTGCAATTTTCTAAAAAACATACCCGTAAAATATAAATTTTAGTTTAAAAATTAAAAATATAGCCATATGTAAACTATGAAATAAAACCAATTTTATATGTACTTTATTGGTTTACGTAAAAAGAAATTCAATAAAACAACATGACCGTACAAAAATAACTGTAAGAAAAACAACCATAAATATTTAAACGAAAGGTTGCAATAAAAAGACACAACCGTTCAGATGTGCAAATGGTATTTATTGGAAACGACATAACCGTAAAAAAATAACCGATTAAAACAAAAATTACGATAAAAAAACGCAACCAAAATAACCGTAAAAAAATAACCGATTTAAACGAAAGGTTGCGATAAAAAGACGCAACCGTTCAGATGTGCAAATGGTGGTATTTATTAGATTGCTATTATATATAGATTAGATGACATATTCTGATTGGTTGAAGTAAAAGGGTGAATATAAAGGGTTCACCCCTAGGGGTGAACTCAAGTATTCTTCTTACATTTTTAGTAAAATATTGTAAATATAGATCGGTAATTCCTTTTGTGGGAAAAAAATGTAAAGCAATACACGTAGAAATAATTGATACATGACTTAGAAGCATCCTCACGAGAAAAAGACGATCCTGGGAACCCAGATCGAAATGATAACCCAACACTCCAAGTCTCCAACAGTGTATTTTCTTAGAAATATATATTGCTTACCTCAATAGATCCTAAATAACTCTATAGCTATAATCGAAGGGATCAAGAACTAAATCTAAGACTTGGACTAATCTACATGTGGTGCTAAGTAATTTTTCTAAACCAAATTACGGATGCATGATAAACTACATATGCATAATCTTACATAAACATCAGAAGTTTGCATTCGTTGAAAATTTTCCAACACTTAGAAAATAATCTTTCATACATAAAACTTTTTGGCTGGACTTAAGCTTACAAATAATCCGAGCCTATATTTTAATTGCAATCATAAATTCTGTTTCATACCGAGATTTTTTTGGTCTAAAGGTTCTACGAATACTTAGGAACCAAAGACTCAATTTCTATATTTTCACCTTTCTTCTTTGGAGTTACTATTTCATTCAAATGAAAAATGTCTCTGAGAAGTTGGTTCGTTTTCAAAACACGATTTTGAATGATGATGCTGGATAAAAGTTACATAGTAAAATATTAGAATTGAACATAGAACTCTTCTTTGGGTTTAAAATACATCAATAGTGTCCTTCTGTTCCAATTTCATGTTGTTGCTTCTATACACTTCAATCAATCATAAAGCTGCCACTAATTTAATAACACATAGAGGAATAAAAGATGTAAGCACGTCGTGATCATGGTTACCAATAATCCCAGTTGTTTATGTTCTGTCAACAATCTTTTCATAATCATAAGTCAAAAGTCAACGATCAACCTTAATCCTTGACTTGAAAAATGAACAAGAAATATATCAGACAGGCGATATCTGTTTTCTTGTCATAAACACCTCAAAAAATGGAGAGTCTTCAATAACTTTTGCTAGCTCTGGTCATTGTGGCTTTTGCCACTACTATACATCTAATTCGAGCTCAGCCTGATCCAAAAGGTACACACTCTTTTAAACACTTCCCTCTTTACAAGTATTGAACCTTACATGATTTCTATGTCGCTTCTTAGCAGAATTCATCAACTTAGATTGCGGTTTGCACCCCGCGGTATCTCCTTATATCGAACCATTAACAACATTGACATACATATCCGACGCCAACTTCACCCAAGGTGGACAAAGTGGTAGAGTCCAAAAGGTTTGGGAAGAAGCATATAAGCCATTCACAGTTTTAAGATATTTTCCAGACGGAATACGAAACTGCTACAACTTGAGGGTCCCTCCATCCACAAAATATCTTATCAAAGCTCTCTTCCTCTACGGAAATTATGACGGGCTTAGCAATGGCCCGATATTCGATCTGTATCTAGGTCCTAACATATGGACAACGGTCGATTTAAAAAGCTCTTTACTTTCTCAAACGGAAGAGATCATACACATCACAAAGTCAAGCTCTTTGGAGATTTGTCTTGTTAAAACAGGGAAGACTACACCAATAATTTCAGCCTTGGAACTAAGACCTTTGAGAGATGACACTTACATCACTACAAATGGTTCCTTGAAGCTCTTAAAACGCTACTATGCTAGCGATTTTCTCGGTCCTTCGATTAGGTAATTTAGCTTTTCTTAATTTACAAGAAACAGAGTTTTGTAATAGGTCATAAACATTTGATTAGTGTTGTTTAATGTTCAGGTATCCTTCAGATGTATATGATCGTGAGTGGAAGCCAATAAATCTTTCTTTTGGCTTGAATTTTGTAAACCCAAGTCTCAATGTAAACTCTTCTACTCCTTATGAGCTACCACAAGATGTAATCTCAAAGGCAATCACTAACAAAAACGTGACTGAGAAGTTATCTTTCGACTGGTATGTCGATAACCGCGAAGATCAAGCTCTCATATTCCTTCACTTTGCTGAGATTCAAACACTTAAAGGCAATGACACAAGAGAGTTCGACATTATATGGAAAGGAAACGATGGAAACATTACCATTTCAGCTTATCGCCCTTCGAAGTTACAGCTAGAGACTTTATACAACACATCGCCCATGAAATGTAAGTTTATGCAATGTACAGTGGAGCTGGTTATGACTAAGAGCTCAACTCTCCCACCAATGATCAGTGCTATGGAAGCTTACCAGATTATTGATTTCTCGGATGCAGAAACTAATCCAGAGGATGGTTAGTCAATCTTCACTAGTATTGAATTTTCGCGATATTTACATATGTTTCGTTATATTTATTTGGGTTTTATTGTCAGTTGTTGAGGTCCAGAATGTTCGAGCTACTTACGAGTTGAGTAAAATCGACTGGCAAGGAGATCCGTGTGTTCCTCGATTGTTCAAATGGGAGGGTATCAATTGCAGCTACACAAATGCTTCTATTCCACCAAGAATCATTTCCTTGTAAGACTATCTAATTACAGATTTAATAATAAAAACAAATTAGTGTTTATAGATCTTGAAATGTGTGTTCTGTTTTTATAATCAGAGACTTATCATCAAGTGGGATAAAGGGGGTTATAGCACCTAGTATATAAAATCTAACCCATCTACAAGAACTGTGAGACAATAATATCCTTAAAACTGCATTTAATTTGTTAAAAACTCTTATATTTGTTCTTAATCAATATCGTAATCGATTGATAGGGACTTATCGAATAACAATCTAATTAGAGGAGTGCCTGAATTTCTAGCCAACGTGGAATCATTGTTGATCATGTGATTTTTATTTCATGGTAAATAATAATTATCATACTTTCGTTCACCAGATTTGTGTATATATCATAATGTTCTTCTCTATTTTGATGGAAACTTAGGTTGAAATAGCTTAACCGGTCCAATTCCTCAAGCCCTTGACAATGGAGAAAAGAAAGGGCTAAAATTGGTGTAAGTTTCTCTTTAAAAGTTTCTTGTTCCTGATGATTTTGCGTATACAGTATTCTTGTTCTATAGTGTTCAAGGAAACCCAAATCGATGTCTCTCTGACTCATGCAACAACATGAAAGTCCTATTGCCGGTTTTTACATCGCTTGCTTCAATGGCAGCTCTTATCGCCTTGTTGGCTTTCATTTTTGTTTTGAGAAAGAAAAGCCCTTATTAAAAGGTATATTGATAAATAAATTCATCATTCAAGAAGCACTTAAGGTATGTGGTATATAATAATTTCTTATATAATAATGGCATTTCTTATATGATTTTTTGAACACTTCGAATCCAATAAATATGGTGATGCATGCAGAGAAGTTTAAGATAATTGATTTGGTCACTTATATCACCAAAATGCACTTATATTTACAACTTGGACCCCACTCTATTGTTTATGACATAGCCTGTGCAAGCCAATAACCAGATTTTACTATATATCTTCCGGATTTTATATGATGTCAAATTAACGTATTGGGTTTGTAAGTTTGACTTGTAGTCATTCCTCTAATTGTTTGTATATTTTCCGGATCCATAAATTCTTGTAAAATATGTAAGTGAGATTCCTTTGAAACTAGATTAAATGCTGAAATTAAACTGAATTAATTTGGTGAAATTTATTTAAATTATTTCATGAATCTGCAATCCACAACTAATTCTCGTCTTTGTTTCTATCTCAAGATGAGCTTGAGGAAACAAAACCATATATTACGTTGTTCCCACTTTGGGTCTTTTTGAACCAAAGCAAGTGTTGAACATGCCAAAACTTATGTCTTGGCTAAGGGCTATTTTTTTGTGTTTTTTTTAGTCTAAGGGCTGTTTATTCTTTTATTTTTTCGAAACGAAAAAAAACACAAGCATGGCAGTTAGCTCAAGTTGAGTTTCATACGGAAAAGCAGGGTTCCTTGGAAAAGGAGAGTAGTTGGTTCACATGTGACAATCAATTCCGGTTTTTGATGCAACGTTGATGGGTCGTGGAAAAGGAGTGACAAAATTTCAGGAGCAGGATGGTACTGTTTGCTAGTTAATTGAGAGTCGTCAACAATGAGAGCCGCCAACCTCCGAATGAGCCTAACTCCACTACATACCAAAGTAAAAGCTTTTGTCAGGGTGGTGCATGATTGGTGCCGACAACTAAGACGTAGCGTTCTTTACTGTTCTTATTTGGTGAAGATATTTCCTTCAAAGAGGATAAAAGAAACAAAATATACATGGTCTTACTAACCAAAAGTTGCTCAAAAATGTCAACGCTCCAAAATGAAATAATGAACGCAGATGTTAAATTTTAATACACGACGATGTCACGACGGCCTCATAAACATCCCCTGCCAGCTTGTAGAATTTATGTTTCTCTAAACGCTTTTCTTTTTGTACTAAACTAGGCTATCTCTATTCGAATTCTAGAAATTTTAATCTGTCAACTATTCACTAATTTATTTACATAAAGGTCATTTTAACATTTATTTTATTTTTGTTTCACAAAACTTATTGTTTTATATTTTCTATGCAAATTTTTAAACTAAATCTCAAATTTATTCCTATAATTGAGTTTATTAATTAGTTGTTGAATACTTGTTTCTCTAGAGGTTTAATCTCTAAAATTTCATTGTAAACTTTTTTCCTCCAGTTTGGGCTACTAATCATATAGTGATTTTTTTTATTGTGGTTGACAAAAAAAATCAACTATATACCCACTAGTTTGCATAATGAGTTTTTACTTGTATTTAGTAGGCAATTATGCAAATGATACGTTTTTGCGTTCTGTTAAATATTATACAGATTTTCTTGATTGGTATATTTTTTGCATAATCAAAAATATACCAATCGAAACCATTATGTTTTAATTACATAACTTGAAAATCGACGCGGACTTCTTCTAGGTCTCTGAGCTTGAAAATCGACGCGGACTTCTTCTAGGTCTGTGAGTCATATTGGTCTATGAATCAATGGCTTAATAATTTTTTGTTAAAATTTATCTACATATATTTACACATATTTAAATATTTTTTGTATTTTAGATGTTTTGTAGTTTGAAAGCTACTTCAATTCTTTCATTTGATATTTTGTAACAAATTAAAGATATGTTTTTACTTGTATGGGGAATTTTGCCACTTGAAAATGTGTTAGGTTGTGAAAGGGAATGTAGACACATATTGTGTGAGGAAATAAATACATAGAATGATGAGTCTCTACTAGGGTGCCAAAAGAAATGAGAGTGTAGTTTCGATCTCTGTAAGTGAGTGTGGTGAAACATGTTTAGTTCCTAGATTTTGTTCTTACGAAATTAAAAGGAAAAAAATCTAACATAATCTAGGATTTTTCTAATCCTTAGATATGAGGTAAAGACGTGTATGTCTTGTTGAATTCTAAAACTTGGTTGATGTCGAGGTAAGAGTTACATTATAGATGCTCTCGTTATTTTTATTTTTTTGGTTTGAATGTCAACTTCCCTTCCAATATCAAAACCTAGTTGATGCATTGTTAACTTTATAGGCAAGTCACTGACAGAACGTAATTATATAGTTTACACCCACTTGAGACTTTGTCGAGGCAATGTAGGGTAATTAATGCATTCGTTTGGTAATAAAACAAACTTTATTTATTCTTCTATGAATTTCCTTCTTGCAAGGTACATTTACAAAAGTGGAGCTACCATAATCTTTAGTATCAGAATCCTTGTATGCTAAATCGAAAATGAAAGGTTATCACCAGCTGACATTGGTGCTGTTGATCGCGGCTTTTTCCGTTTTACATCTTGTGCTAGCTCAAGATCAATCAGGTATTTGCTAGTGTTATAAATAATTCGTGTAAACTGTCCTTGTTTTATATATTTCATTTAGATTCATAATGTATGAGAACATATCCTTTGAAAATTGTTTTAAGATATCTATTTTATGTTTTTCTAGGTTTCATCAGCTTAGACTGTGGGTTACCCCCTAATGAGTCTCCATATAATGAATCCTCAACTGGATTAACATTCTCATCTGACGCTGATTTCATCCAAAGTGGAAAAGGCGGTCAAATCGGTAAAGATTGGGATTATGGTTACAAGCAGTATAATGCCTTGAGATATTTTCCAGATGGAATACGAAACTGTTATAATCTAAGTGTCAACCAGGGCATCAACTATCTAATTAGAGCTGGTTTTGCATATGGAAATTATGATGGCCTTAGCATCTATCCCAGATTCGATATATACATCGGGCCTAATTTGTGGACATCGGTGCATACGTTCAGCCAAAATGACATTGAGATCATTCACACGGCAAGGTCAAACTTCTTGCAGATATGTCTTGTCAAGACAGGAACAACAACACCAATTATATCAACGTTGGAACTACGACCATTAAGAAATAACTCTTATTCCACACAATCAGGCTCCTTGCAACTCATATATCGGCGGTTCAAAAGAAGCCGTGATTTACGGTATGTTAATTCTTAGCAAAATTTTAATTGTATGCCAATCAATTCAAGTATTCAAAACTTTTACTTAAGCTTGGACTTGGAGTTGAATTTCAAAGGCGATAACTATTGTGCAGGTACCCTGATGATGTCTACGATCGTAAATGGGAGTCATGCTTATGGTTTGATGAAACAGAAATAAACACCACACTCACTGTGAATGGGAATTCATCTAACCCATTTGGTGTACCAAAACTTATAGCTTCGTCAGCTTCAATCCCTGAAAACGCAAGTGACCCATTGACCTTTTATTTGTCTCCTTTAAACCCCAGTGACAAATTTTTTTTTTACCTTCACTTTGCCGAGATCCAAGATTTACAAGCCAACGAAACTAGGGAATTCGACATTATATTTGATGGACACATTACAAATTCAGCGTATAGTCCAAAGAAGTTACAAGTTGATACCTTATTCAACACATTACCAAAGACATGTGAAGGTTTATCGTGCAACTGGGAGCTGGTTAGAACTCAGAGATCAACTCTTCCACCGTTGCTTAACGCTGTAGAGGCTTACAAGGTCGTGGAGTTTCCATATTCCGAAACATATCCAACGGATGGTACGTACATTTTGGTTTATTTTATCCATATTCAGAAACATATCCAACGCTTTAGAGATAAAACCCAAAACCCGGCAGTGCAACTACTGAACCTGGGTCACCGGTTTTTCTCGGTTTAAAATGGGTTTTCCGGTTCCAAAATCTGTGGGTTTTATATCTAGAGTCGGTATAAAATTTAGTTTTTGTATGTTTTTAATTAAATATTTATCTAAAACATTTTAAAATCTTTAAAACAACAATTGCATAAAATGTTTCTAATAACATTAGATTTGATGGTAAGTTTTCCAAAGAATTGTTCAATAACCTCAAAATTGTTTTTAATGATATAATCAGTAAAAAATATTTTGGCCAAAATTTTGAAAATGTATGATTAAATAGTATGATATATTCATCTTGATTCACTTTAAAAAAAAATTAAATAAGAATTATATAACTAAAAAGTGTATTTATCAATATTCTTATTTATGGTAATACGGTAGATGTACGATAGAGGACCATATATCATATCGATGTATATCTCGCCGTTTATGCGAGGACTAGATGGTGAATTATTAAAGAAAAAATATTTACACATAAAACTTATCAAGATATGCATACATAATTACTAAGTTACAATAACAAAAAAAAATCAAGATGAACACTATAATGAAAACCAAAAAATTTAAATTCTCACTTTCAACTTTTTTTTTTAAATTCTTAGATGACTAATAAGCATGAATATTAAAAAATGATGATTAAATCATCTAATAGTTTTTTTTTTGGGAAAATTAGAAATAAGGTGTGTATATATATATTTTAACTTTGTCCATCTATACTTTATTTTTTATTTAGGATTGGTAAACTAATTAAGGAGAAATAATTACAGAATACATGATTCCTATTGTGTCAATTGCCTTATTCCATTACTCTTGACCTATATGGCAGTCGCTGCAATGATGAACATTCAAACCGCTTATGGATTGCGCATAATCAGCTGGCAAGGAGATCCATGCGTCCCTGTAGCATTGAAATGGAAAGGTGTTGAGTGCAGCTATACAGATATGTCTACTCCACCAAGAATCATTTCTTTGTAAGATTACAAGTTTTATATATAGCTGAATTAACCCAAAAAAAAAAGGTTTAATATATAGCTAAAACACAAAACTCGGTGTGCTCATGTATGCAGAGACTTACGATCAAAAGGGCTAAGTGGAACCATAGTGCCTGCACTGCAATATTTGACCGAGCTACAAAGACTGTAAGTGTCTCGATCCTTTGGGTCAATTTGGTAGCTATCATCTTAATTGTCATAATTTTGGGATATATACAAAAATGAAAAGGAAAAAAAAAAGTAATTAAGAAGGGATGAATATTACAATGAAAAATGACATGTAAATTAATAACAGAGTATATTCTTTTGTCAATATAACATGCCCTTGATTTCTTATATTTTATCATATATTGTTAACTTTAGACACAAAGTATTTTTCATATGAAGACATTAACGAATAACTCTTAAAATGTTTACAAACGGTAGGGACTTATCAAATAACAGTCTGTCTGGAGTGGTTCCCGAATTCCTAGCAACCATGAAATCATTGATGACCATGTAAGAAATGAAAACAAACACTGCCTATCTCATATTTTTTTGCACTAATTGTACATGATTATCATGTAACTTTATTTCTCGACAGAAACTTAAGTTGGAACAAGCTAAACGATAGTGTTCCTCAAGCCCTTCATGATAGAGAAAAGAAAGGGCTCCAGTTAACGTAAGATTTGTTAATTTTGATTATTTTACATTGCTATATTAAGATTTCTAACCCTTGTGGTATGTAGGATTAAAGGAAACCCAAAGCTTTGTGCGGATGATAGGTGCAAATTTAAAAACAAGAAAATTGTCGTACCAGTTGTTGCGTCGGTTGCTAGATTGGTCCTTATAATTATACCGCTGCTAGTACTCATTTTTATGTGCACAAAGAAGAATATGCGGAAAGGTACTAAAGAGATATAGTTAGTGTAACATGAATCAAGGCTTTTAAATCCCACTGAAATTAGTTATAATGTTGTTATCTATGCAGCTCGAAACCAACAGCCGATTAAGTCGTCCATTTTAACAACGAAAATAAGGTTTACAAACCCCAAGCTCCAGGCCATGACAAATAACTTTGGAAGAGTTATTGGAGAAGGAGGGTTTAGGACCGTCTATCATGGTGTTTCTCGTTCTATATGGAAGGTTCTTGAACTTGCAGTATCATGTGTAATTCCTTCTTCAGCGGGAAGACCAAACATGTCGCATGCTGACAATCAGTTAAAAGAGTGCCTTCTTTATGAGAATTCTAAGAATTTAGAAAGATTCAAAGATTTCTATTGAAGAGAGCATGTCTTTCGCACAAATATCCCCTAATGGGCGCTAAGAGCTGCTCAAGAGTTCTTGTGTGAGAGAGTTTGTCTTGTCATTGTGGTTAGTGATCACTGATATTGCAAATTTCTATATTGGTTATCCAACAATACTATAATATATAGCGTGAATCAGTTGTTTTATTTTATTTTTGCCAGCATATAAGAGATTAACCCAACAAGGAGTGCATTAATTCCACACAAGGAAATTTTCAAATTTACTAGGGGAGACACAAAATTTCAGAGGTTTACTGTGTACTTTGTAGCGATTCATTTTCGTTAAAAGGTTAACAGAAATATCGAGGGGTTTCACTCCTAGTTGTAATCAGTTGAGAACTTGAAATTAAAACTATTACTTCTTTTAGGCGAACACGTTAAACCGAAACATATATCTTGGCAGGTTAAGTGATAACTGATAAATTTTCCACGGAATTGATTGAGAATTGACGTAAAGATCGGGGTTGAGTTCCTGAACGGAAACCAACAAGAAGCAACCGTTCAAATGTACTTTCGGTCTCATGTCTCTTTATAATCATCCTTTTATAGACAAGAAAAGAGGAGTCATAGAGACACACAAATGGTTTTAGTTTCTCTTGAGAAATCCCAAAAGTTACTGGTTAACTGAACCGGTTCAGTATGCTGCCAAATCATGGGCGCAAACCGAACATATACAAACCAACAAAAACTAATTCTTTTACTCTCTTGCCCTAATCCTATGAGATTTAAAGTGGAAGTGCAAACCACCTCTGGGGGTTGTAGTCATAAAATGATTTGTGTTCAAATAACAAATCCTACGTTATTGAGCTTTGCATAAGCTCCTTTTTTTTTTTACATACTCTCCTCACATCATCGTTAACTGCATAAAAGTTACATAGTAAAATATTATAATTAAAAATGGTACTCTTCTTTGGGGTTAATTAAAATACATCACTTATCCATTTATGTTTCAATTTTCATTTTGTTATTTCGTTCCACTTCAATCAATCAAAAACTTGTCAATAATCAATAGAGGAATAGATGTTGTAAGCACGTTGTTATCATGGTGACCAATTATCCCAGTCGTTTATGTTCTGTCATAATCTTTTCATAATCATAAGTCAAAAGTCAACGCACAACCTTAATCCTTGACTTAAAAATGAACAAGAAATATATCAGACAGGCGATATCTGTTTTCTATGTCTTAAAATCCTCAAAATATGGAGAGTCTTCAAGAACTTTTGCTAGCTCTGATCATTGTGGCTTTTGCCACTACTTCACATCTAATTCAAGCTCAGCCTGATCCAAAAGGTACACACTCTTTTAAACACTTTCTTCCTTAGCTTACAAGTCTTAAAATTTATTTGAATTTTCTTTTTTTTTCTTCTACTCGTCATGATCTTTATCTCACCTCTTACCAGAATTCATCAACTTAGATTGCGGTTTACACTCCGCGGTATCTCCTTATACCGAACCATTAACAACATTGACATACATATCCGACGCCAACTTCACTCAAGGTGGTCAAAGTGGTAGAGTCCAAAAGGTTTGGGAAGAAGCTTATCAGCCATTCACAGTTTTAAGATATTTTCCGGATGGAATACGAAACTGCTATAACTTAAGGGTCACTCCATCCAAAAAGTATCTTATCAAAGCTCTCTTTCTCTACGGAAACTACGACGGGCTTAACAATGGCCCGATATTCGATCTGTATCTAGGTCCTAACATATGGACAACGGTCGATTTGAAAAGCTCATTACTTTCTCAAACGGAAGAGATCATACACATCACAAAGTCAAGCTCTTTAGAGATTTGTCTTGTTAAAACAGGGAAGACTACACCAATCATTTCAGCCTTGGAACTAAGACCTTTGAGAGATGACAATTACATCACTCAAAATGGTTCCTTGAAGCTCTTAAAACGCTACTATGCTAGCGATTTTTTCGGTCCTTCGATTCGGTAATTTAACTTTACTTACTTTCCAAGAAACAGAGTTTTGTTAATAAAAATAAAGGTTTGATCATTGTTGTTTAATGTTCAGGTATCCTTCAGATACATATGATCGTGAGTGGAAGCCAATAAGTCTTTCGTTTGGCTTGAGTTTCGTAAACACAAGTCTCAATGTAAACTCTTCTACTCCTTATGAGCTACCACAAGAAGTAATCTCAAAGGCAATCATTAACAAAAACGTGACTGAGAAGTTATCTTTCGACTGGTATGTCAATAACCGCGAGGATGAAGCTCTTATATACCTACATTTCGCTGAGATTCAAACACTTAAAGGCAATGACACAAGAGAGTTTGACATTATATGGAAAGGAAACGATGGAAACATTACCATTTCAGCTTATCGCCCTTCGAAGTTACAGCTACAGACTCTATACAACACATCGCCCATGAAATGTAAGTTTATGCAATGTACAGTGGAGCTGGTTATGACTAAGAGCTCAACTCTCCCACCAATGATCAATGCTATGGAAGCTTACCAGATTATTGAGTTCCCGGATGCAGAAACTAATCCAGAGGATGGTTAGTCAATCTTCATTACTATAGAATTTTCGCGATATATAAATATGTTTCGGTATATTTATTTCGGTTTTATTGTCAGTTGTTGCGGTCCAGAATATTCGAGCTACTTATGAATTGAGTAAAATCGACTGGCAAGGAGATCCATGTGTTCCTCGATTGTTCAAATGGGAGGGTATCAATTGCAGCTACACAAATGCTTCTATTCCACAAAGAATCATTTCCTTGTAAGACTATTTAATTACAGATTTACTAATAAAAAAAATTAGTGTTTAAATATCTTAAAATGTGTGTTCTGTTTTTATAACCAGAGACTTATCATCAAGTGGACTAAAGGGTGTCATAGCACCTAGCATACAAAATCTAACACATCTACAAGAACTGTGAGACAACAATATCCTCGAAACTGCATTTATTGTTTTAAGACCTCTTATATTAATCTTCTTGATTGTTATCGTAATCGACTAATAGGGACTTATCGAATAACAATCTAACTGGAGAGGTGCCTGAATTTCTAGCCAACATGGAATCATTGTTGATCATGTGAGTTTATTTCATGGCAAACAATAAGTGATCATACCTTCTTGCACCAGATTTATGGATGATGTGTATATATCATAATGTTTTTCTCTGTTTTGACAGAAACTTAGGTTGGAATAGCTTAACCGGTCCGATTCCTCTAGCCCTTCGCAATAGAGAAAAGAAAGGACTAAAATTGGTGTAAGTTTCTTATTAACAGTTTCTTGCTCCTGATGATTTGCGTATTCAATAACATTCTTGTTCTTTAGTGTTCAAGGAAACCCAAATCTATGTCTCTCTGACTCATGCAAGAACAAGAAAGTACTAGTGCCGGTTTTTGCATCGTTTGCTTCAATGGCGGCTCTTATAGCCTTGTTGGCTCTCATTTTTGTTTTGAGAAAGAAAAAGCCCTTATCAAAAGGTAGTAAGATAAATAGCTATATCAATCAAGAATTGCACACAAAGGCTTAATAATCTATTAAGTTTCATGGTATATAATAATGGCATTGTTTTTGATCTTTCCCTCTACAGTTGCTACACGCGAGTTACCAAGAAAATCATCAATCTTTGCCAAAAGAAAAAGTTCACTTATTCGGAAGTCGTTGAGCTTACTGATAACTTTAAAAGAGTTCTTGGAGAAGGAGGATTTGGAGTTGTCTACCATGGTTCTTTGAGTGATACCGAACCAGTAGCGGTTAAAGTCCTTTCCGAGTCATCAGTTCAAGGCTATAAGGAATTTAAGGCAGAGGTATGTTAACGTTTTTGCACTTGTTCAATCGAAAATAACTTGTTTTATGTTTTATTGAGAGTCTTGTATATATGAAACCGAAAAAGGTGGAGCTTCTTCTAAGAGTGCATCACATAAACTTGGTAAGCCTTGTTGGTTACTGTGATGAAGGAGGTCATTTGGCACTCATCTATGAGTACATGGCTAATGGAGACCTTAAACAACATTTATCAGGTAAATAATCATTAATAGTTGATATGTCTTTATTTGTCTTTGAATCAATAGTTTTGATATCTTTTGACTGCAAGGATTTAGCATATTCATTTACAGGAGAATCTTCTGGACCTACTTTGAAATGGGCTAGTAGACTAAAAATTGCTATCGAGGCGGCACAAGGTTAATTCTTGCTAACTTTAACATTTCCAGTCACCTTTTTATAACATTGCCAAGAAATCATTATGAAGTACTTAAACTTCATATATTTTTTCAATCCCTCTTGCACAATAATCACTCAACATGGATATGATTTTTTGTACCCACAGGATTAGAGTACTTGCACGTTGGGTGTGAGCCGCCAATGGTTCATAGAGATGTCAAAAGTACAAACATACTACTAGACGATCGTTTAGAAGCCAAGATCGCAGATTTTGGACTTTCAAGATCATTTTCTGTCGGAGCTGAAACTCAAGTGGCAACAGTTGTTGCAGGAACACCCGGATATCTTGATCCTGAGTGAGTACTAATTCATAGACAACTACATAATCTAACTTCAGCCCCTTTTTCCTTGATTATGTATCATAAAACTGTTTATTTTCCAGATATTACCTAACAAATTGGTTAAACGAGAAGAGCGATATCTACAGTTTCGGCATAGTACTCATCGAAATAATCACAAACCGATCAGTGATTGAACTAACCCAAGAAAAAGCTCATATAGCAGAATGGGTAAAGATTCTTATAAGCAGAGGAGACATCAAAAAAATCGTCGACCCAAACCTTAATGGAGATTACGACTCAAACACAATCTGGAGAATTCTTGAACTAGCAATGTCATGCGTAAGCCACTCTTCATCAGATAGACCAAACATGTCCAAGGTAGTTAATATACTTAAAGAGTGCTTGATCTCTGAGAATTCAAGAACAGGACAGATTCATCAAGATAGTGATTCAAAGAACTCAGACCTGACTTTAAATTTCGGAACCGAAGTAACCCCTCTTGCACGCTAGTCTCTTACAAGAATCTCATCTTCTTCTTTTCTTTTTTTTTTTTTTTTTTGAATTTATGTTAATTATATTTTTAGACTTCCTGTTCTTGTTATGAGATTTCATTTTCTTGTTTTTCCATTCCAAATTTGAACAGATAAAACATAATTCTACAAGGGATATATATTTTTTTGGTCATTTTTTACATCATCGTAATTCTCATGTACACTATTTACAACATATGCGATTACGATAAACAGTTTCCATGAACAACGATTTCACCTACAACATATGCAATTACGATGAACAGCTTCTACGAACAATGATTCTATGGTGCAGTTCTCCTCGAAACACTTGATTCCACGAAGAACTGTTCTGCATGTATGACATCCAATAGACATGTTTTCCCCGATTCCGCAACACACGAAACTACGACGAATGGTTCTATCTGTAGCACTCTGAAACTGTCATTAAGTTTTGCATCAATAATCTGCATGAAATTGCGTCATCTAGGATTTGGGAATTCTAACCGCAAACCTTAATGTATAAACCTTTAAACCATTAACCAATGGACCATGAGTGATTCCGCTTATAGTCAACTCCACTATAGTCACGTGCGTGGCACAGAAACTATATATATTTAAATTAATTAAAAATAATTATAAAAATATAAAAATATTGTTTTTTCCCGGTGGTGGTAGATCTGAATCAGAGACTTCAGAACTCAAAATTAAAAACAAAAAAAACTTGAGAGATCGGTAAGAAGTAAGAACCCTAGCTAAGATTCGTCCGGTTCTGATTACTCGAATCAAAGCAGGGTTTTTGAGACTAAAATCCGATCTTGTGAAGTGGGTTTTGCATCGAATCGGAAAATATGAAAGAAGGGAAATCATCGAAGTCGAATCAACAAGAGCAGCATGAACAGATTTATCACCAAAACAGTCACTTGAGTTCTTTCAAATTCGCCAAATTGTTTGATTCTGAAGCTTCCTGGGACAAGGTATAGTCTCTCTAACTTCTTATTGAATCGATCGCAGAATCTGTTAACTTTGAGTTCGTTGGTCATAATTTCTCTAAAGTTGATTTCTTTATCATGTGGGCACAATCAATTGTAGCAATTCAGCTCTAAAGTTTAAATCTTTATTCTTGTGTGCACATTGAATTGTAGCAATAGAGCTCTAAAGTTGATTTCTTTCTCCATTTGTGTTCCTTACACTGCCTTTTTAGCCCATCTTGTATCTCGGCGACTATAAGAACTTGTTATGGAAAAAGGAATGAATATGTTTCCGTATTTGATTGCCAGAGCTGATTGTGATTAATTCTGATTGGTTTTCACTATTTTTAGTGTTTCGTGGATAATAAAGCAATGCTTTGTGTTGGTTTATGGTTGTGAGATTGTTTTAAGTGGTTTTTAAGTCTGTGGTTGTTGTTGGGATAGGATCAATTGGGAGATGTGTTGCATTGGATCAGGCAAGTAGTTGGATTACTCTGCGGATTGGTTTGGGGTGCGATACCTTTGGTTGGAGGGATATGGCTACTTCTGTAAGTTCTGTCATTTATCTTCTTACAATGTACAGTATGAGTAGAAAGAGTTGGAACCTCCTGCCTAAACTTGAGCTATAGTTTGTAGAAATCTGTTGTGCTTGATGCATGAAATCAAATCAACTTGGTCACTATATCGATTAGTTTACATGGCTTTTATTCTATATCGCTGATCAGAAAAACTCTTGAAATCCATCACTTTTGAGATGATAATAAGCTACATCAGTTACTATTGTCCTTATCTATAAAGTTTTAATGAACGCTGCTCGAGTTAAGCTTCGAAATTGTGTACCTGTTTGCAAGAAAAACTCCGCCATATATGAAGGGCTATTAGAATTCTTAATATATCAGTGGTACATTAATATTTAGGTGAAATATATTTTCCATAACAGAGAAACAACCATCAAAACCCGAATGTTCATATCTGTTTTTATTGCTTTAGTTAGTTAAGTCTTTACTTTGAGCTTGTTTTATCTACAACTGTCTTCGGCGACATTCATAGATTTTGAGTTATCTATTACAATCATACTACATAGCAGGCCTTTCGTGTTGAGTTGGTCTGTCTTAACAAGTAGCATCGTTGACTGTAAAATTTGGCAGATTTCTGGCAATCTCATCTGCCATAGTATACGGTTACTATGCATTGATTCTAAAGATTGATGAAGAAGACTTTGGTGGTCATGCAGCTCTGCTCCAGGACGGTCTATTTGCTTCTCTAAGCTTATTCCTGGTATGTAGATTTCTTCTCTCTGCCTATCAACAATTCTCTAGTTAAGATAATCCTTCGAGTTTTCATACAATCTTGGAAATTGATTTTGGTGTGATGAATTACGTTTCAGCTTGCGTGGATTCTGGTGTATAGCTTGTCTAGCTTCTGATAGAGACACACTGTATGTCTTGTGCTTTAGCTGCTCCGAACAAGTTTAGCAGAACGTACCTTTCATTGTTTCTCCGATTTACGCTGTGCCCTTCATGCTTTTGTTTTCTGAAGATGGGAACTAGCATTGGTAGATTTTCAAATTTTTGATGGAACTTTTGGTTTCCTTTTGTTCTTGTTAATTACTAAGATTTTTATTTTGTGTAATAAAACTGATTGTCTTATTATGCAAGGATATGTGTTTAGTCCAAAAATATTACTTTCTTTTTAAAAATTTTGAACAAAAAGCATCACTGAAAAAATCTCTCAGGTTACACAAAAGAAATTGCGTCTGCCGGGAGTCGAACCCGGGTCTATTGCTTGGAAGGCAATTATCCTAACCGTTGGACTACAGACGCTTCAATGTTTAAATTGCCAACCTTTAAAAATTTCAATTCTATAAACAAAAACAAAACAAATCCAAATGCTACCATTTTATTATGGCAAAATCATTAGTAAATTCGTTAATTTACACACATTTTTTTACCAAAACAAATATCATTGATTACACGTTTTTCTGAACATATTTTAGGTTATTTTATATGACAACTACGCTAATTTTTATTATCGTGTTACAAATACACCATATAGTTACGATTTTCCCACCGTTGTTAGTTCTTTACAATTTTGTTGAAAATTTGGTTTTGCAACAACGAAACCTTTAAATTTCAAACAAACCCATAAGAAAATAAGGCCTCGTGACTTCTTTCTACCATCACAACTACATTCACTTGTCTCCCAATAAAAATTAAAGAACACAATCAATCAAGGCCTATCGAAGTAAGGATCCCACTCATGCCTCTCAACATTCCCAAACACATTATATTTCCAAGAATACTGCTCCGGAAAATCGAAAATCTCCTCTTTCCCTTCCTCTATCCTCTTCCTTAACCCCTCAATTCTTTCCAACACTCCTTCCACCGCGACATCGAATGCATCTTCAAACCTTCCCGTGTCTTCGCTCTTACTCGACGGGTTAAAATACATTAACCTTGGTATCAGTCTTATCACTTGTTCTCTCATCGCGAAAATTTTCGTCCTTGGGATCCTACTCAAAACATTCTCTATACTCACTTTACCTTCTTTAACGTTTTTCTCTGGTATAAAAACAGAGTATTTCGCGATATCTTTCGGTAAATGCCAAATGTATTGCGCGTAAGCTGATCCCGGGTGGAAGAAAACCGGTATGCAACCTGCTAAGATTGAGTCGAAAGTGGAGCGGCGTGTGTATGAGTCACCGGGTGGTTGGAGACAGAACGTTGAGCTCAAGAAGAATTTCATGATTTGGTCCGGTTTGTAGCATTTTTGAGAACCCGATACGCATTCTAGAAGCTTGCATTTTCTTCTGGAAGCTTTGCATTGGTCCATGATCTCGGTTCTTATGCTGTCACCGAGATTTGGACGTGGTGCACCAACAAAGGAGAATAGGTAACGGCGATTAATTCTTCTCATTCTCATCTGCCATTGGATGATCTCTGCGTAGGTTGAAGGGTGGAAATAGGTCGGGTAAGGAACCGCGAATCCGTGGTAGTTCCATGGACTTGATTCGATAAGTAACATCGTCATGTTTCTTACTTCCGGTAAGATCATTAACCTGGCTAGGTAGATAGGGAGACAACAATGAGAAGACTTGTCTAATAAAAACAACTTAAAACATTCATGAAATATAATTCTGCAACTATCTTACCAAACACATAATTCATCAATTTTTCATGTTTTAAAGGATGGTGGCGTACCTATTGCCCCAATCGGATTCATTCTCAGGTGTACGCATAAAGTCCCAAGTGGTACGACCAGCCACCATAAAATGATCTCGGCCGTCCATTCTCTTCCACTCTGGACTCTCCCTCAGCCACTTCATCAGATCAAGCGCTGCAGCATCTCTCATGAAAGGAAACGGTCCCCACAAAAACCGCATCAAGTCTAAACCCGGATAGTAAGGAACATACACCGCGGAAGCTAGAGACGAGTCTTTGGTCAAGCACTTGTATTGCTTCATCCTATTGTGGAATATCACTTCTAATGTAAATTGATTTGTAGCATACCAACCAGAAACTCCCTCCATGTTTGGTAGACGAGGGCCTAATCCGAAATTCGATGTTAACTCACACATATCGGTCCACCGGCTCAGTGTCCAACAGTTCTTGAGAAGTTCTTCGTTAAACAAAGCTGGCACCTCATGCATATACACATATTTTCCTTTACATGGATCGTTACTTCGCGTTTCTCTTGGCCGTAACATAACTTTTCCGACTCTTTTAGGTTGGTTTCTCTTAGAAATTACTCTGTTTTTCGCCTCGGAAGTAGTATTATTATTCGATGAAAACTTTCTCTGAGTTTTTGGTTCGGATTCAGAGGTGTTATCATCTTCAATATCATCACTGGACAAATCACTCGGCAATTCCCTGCCTCTCTTGCTCTCTAAATCGTCGTCATTATCATCAACTTGCGCTTTCTTTGGTTCCACGTCTTTCTTAGGTTCGAAAAAATTCGGTTCTTTGTCTAATGCTTGATGATTCTCATCACTATTCTCCGCATTGCTCTCATCATCATCCTTTTGACGAACCCTTTTCTTATCTGCCTCCAATCTACCCGAAGATCTCGCCTTTCGTGGCTCTCGACGTCCTCTCTTAACCCTCGATGACCGTCCAGTAATAACCGAATCCACTCTCTTCTTCTCATTCTCAACCCTTTCTTTCTCGAGTTCTTCAACGAGATCAGTCACAACCTTCTTGTCTTCTGACATCTGATCATCCGGAGATATATCGACCGAGACAGGAAGAGAGCTGTTATCAACAGAAATGTCCTCAGAGACAACGACAGGAGCTTCATCGGATTCGTGGTTTTGAGGGACGTTTTCGACAGGAAGATCGATGATATTTTCTTGCCGGAACAATCTCTCGTGGTTATGAACGGTTTTAGCGGAAGAACTAAAAAGGTAAAGCAAGACAAGCCAAAGGAGGAAAGAGGCCATTGCAACGTACCAGAACTGGGTTCTGTACTTTGAGCTAGACTTCTCCATTGCCATTGTTCCTCCTCTCCTATGTGGTTTTCTCATGCATTAATTAACCAAATCTTACCTCCAATATTGCTTGTGATACAAGAAATCGTTAAAGATTGTGTTGATTTCTGGATCTGAACGATAGATTTGGGGCAAAATGGATGGATCTTTGGTAGATTGAGAAAATGAATGGACGCTGTGAGAGAGAGATGGTGAGATTGGGATTGTGTTGAAGCGTTGGTGAGATTGGGATGGTGTTGAAGCGTTCAAAGGTTTTGTAGTGATTAATGGAAAGATTTGTTATTTTTCAATAAAGCGCGTTAATTAATTACATATGGAGCTATATTAATATTTTGTTCATGCACCTAAATTAAAGTCTCTTTTTCTACAAATTGATGTTTAGTACTTAATTTTGGTGTAACAATCTGGCTAATTGGTCCGTCCCTCCACTCGCCGCAGGCAAATTTCATGCGAGTAAATATATAAATGTGATGCAGTTTCTAGAAATATGTTTGATCAAGATCGACTACGGATCAAGATTTTCCATAATACTTTTGTATTGGCTTCGAACCCTGGATTATCGGTGATTTCAATAAAATTGTAGGACATTATTAAAAATTCAGATGGCCTAGAAAGAGTTTGTTTATACATTTCCACCTTATGTGACAGAATTGTGGGATTGTGAATTTTGATTTAAAGATCCGCTTACGAGGTCAGATATAGGGTATATATAACTCAAGTGAACTTAAAGGGTTTATAGGCCTAATGACTAATCCTGAGATTCGGAGAAATCATGTTAAATTGTTTGAACCCCAGTGGCCAATACTAGTCGAACTCAGATAGCGGAAATTACCTATTTACCACTAGACTAAGGGGACTTGGTTGAAAAACATATATTTAAAAGAGCCGTTCCTAGCATTTTAGAGGGTATAATCGACTAAAAATAGATATTATAATTTTGTAACTCAAACAAAAGTCTAATATCCATTTTATTTACAGAAATGATAAATTTCATTACGCTAATGAAATCATAGTTACTAATATAAAAAAGAAATACAGACAAATAGAAATTCAATTTTTACACACCAAACTCTTTTTGTCATGTAATTTAGTGTTCAATTTCTTTAAACATATATATGTACAATCCATAAAACATTTCAAATTTACCGAAAATATTTTAGTTTAAATTCTAAAAAGAAGTTGTAGACAAAGAAAGAGACAATTTTTAAATATGAAGAACTATACATCTGCTCATCCCCTGTCATTTCTGCTATGGTTGTGCCATGTCTTCATATCAAAGGACTGGATTGTCCGTATTTCGGATGTGTATAAGGAGGCTAATCGTCTTGTGGATGGATTAGCCAATTATGTGTTTTCATTACATTTAGGTTTCCATTTACTATAGTCGATGTCTAGTTGTTTTTCTTCGATTATGTTTGATGGTTCTCGCGGTATTCCACAAGGAGTTGGTGTTTAATTGATTTGTTTTTCCATTATTAATAATAAAAGAGGAGGCTACCTGGTTCTTACCCAAAAAAAATAAAAATAAAATAATAACTATATATCAAAGAGTTTAATTTTTAGATGTAGAAGTTAAGTAAGAAATAGAAGAATAAAAGAGAAGAAATTTAATTGTTTATTTGAAGAGAATGGTTATTGGTTGTTGTTTCATACATCTTTCCATTTCTTCTTTTTCTTACTTCCATTTTTTACTTTTTACATAATTGAAAAAAAGCCAAACGTGAAATTCATGCAAATATGATATGCTCACAAGTACCAATTTATAATAAGTCAAGGCCTGGAAAAGAAAATTTATGGAAGGATGCCGCCATGGTTAAAGCACAACTTCTATTTTTTTTCATGCATGAAGTAAGAAACTTTAGGCAGCATAGAAATAGTATAAAAGAATTTAGGAACATCATTTTTCTATAAGTCATTCTGGCAATGCCTTTAAGGGGGTGTTATTCAATGGTGGAGTTAAAGTCAATTCTTTAAGGTTTAGATTTGTTTTCTGATATTGGTTTTAAGCATCTGTTTGTGTGGATTTCAAAATCTCTGCAGTATATCTTGGATTTTGATTCTAATAATTTACTCATGAAACTCCAAAGAGGTTTCATTTGAAATGACATAATATACAAAGATTTTACAAGTATTTTAGTTTTGAATAACACTGGATTTTACAAATCTTAAAGAATTGACTTTAACTCCACCATTGAATAACACCAAACTTTTAAAATCTAATGAAGTATAAGATCTAATAACACCCGATTTTAACGTTAGATTTATAATCATTAGTTGAATAACACTGGATTAGTGTTGGATTTCAATTCTATTAAAATCCATCATTGAATAACACCACCTAAGTCTTCTACTAATATTGATGTCAGTCAAAATAGTACTCATATACAATAAATAACTAGATATTTTATCGTTTACCATTATCTAAAGTACCCATAAATGATGCTAAACTTTTTTCCTTTTTCCTACTTTTACGTTCGTCTATAACTGATGTACATTAATTGATGCCAGATCCTCTTTTCAAGATTCCTTGAACCTCAATTCTATAAATATCCTTTCAGTATTCTCTCATTTTTCCAAATTTATCAACTAAAATTACTATTGTTAATTAATTTTAAGAGAACAGAGAAAAAAAAAAAACTATGGCTAAGGCAGCTTCTTCACTTGTTTTTCCAGTCATCTTCCTTGTTATGTTTGCTTTAGGTAATACATTTAATCTTCAGATTTATTCATATAAAATATTCAAACTTTTTCATATAAACCTAATAATTTTTGTTCAAGGTACATATTATATGGGATATCCCCCTCAAATGCTGTAAATCATCATTATGTTTTCCTTAAGTGTACATTTATGTAAAAGTTTGTTCATAAAATATTCAAAATTTTCACAAGGAAATTGTTATTTTCGGCTTTCTTCATTCACATATGTTCCAACTTCCAAAGGTTATATACGTATATAGATATCTCCTTGGTATGCTTTCTTTAGGAATTTATTTATCTTAAGGTTTTTTAATTAGAAAAGGATAATTCTCCAGAGATATACATATATACATTTTTCACAAAAAATTACTTTAATGTAGGCTATATTCATTGGATATGCCCCAAACGTTGTAGTGAAAGTTAGGTATGTATACATTTACCTTCATGGTTTGTTTATACCAATATCTTAACATATGATCTACTCTAGGTTTCAGCTTCAGCTCTATTCATTAGCATATATCAGAAATGTTGTAGTTCAATGTAATGATTTCTTCTAAGTTCTACTAATATTTTGTTATATAAATATAATATAGAACGATTTTGTTGGTTATAGACTTATAGTTGAGCAAAATATGGGATGCATGGCGGTTCTTGGCTCGTGCGGTGTCATTACAGACTGTAGTGGGACATGCAAGACTAAGTTTGGACAAGATGCGAGTGGCGATTGTGAAGTCTGTCAGTTGGGCCCAATTGGTTTACCTGGTAGTCAGAAATGCAGGCGGCCTGACTACCCCCTGACATTAGTCGGAAGGCATTCCAAACTCGGACCAGGCAGTGTGGTGGCCCAATTCTACCTGGATCGGGAGAAGTCCACTCTGTAGCACCTCGGTGCGTTCCTACCGAGGCCGACCGGATCAGCCGATAGGGTTTATCAAAAAAAAAAAAAAAAAAAAAAAAGATGCGAGTGGCGATTGTGACCGCGACGGTGGTGTTGGAACATGTGTTTGTGGTTATTCGTGTCCATCACCTCATAAGCCCCATATGTGAAATTTATAGTATTTTGAATATAAAATTCTTCAAAATGTATAAGTAGAAATCAAAATTGAAAAATATATGTCAAAACCGGTATGCTATGGTCTCTCCATCCTTCCGCCACGTCAGCATTTTAGGCTATTCTGGAGCTGACACATCAGCTTTCTATCTTCCAATCAAAACATTTCATTAATATGATTCAGCTTTTATTTTTTACACATCATCTTTTAATTAGAATTGTCAAATGAGAAAAACACAATAGCCCATGAGGGATGGGCATATGGATTTGAAAATATATTTCACAAGTTAATAATATATTTATTATTTAATTATATATATTATTTAATTTTACATATTGATTTCTACTAATACTAACTTATTTTGTTATTTTATGTTTTTTTCAATGAAATTATTTTATTGGTTTAATATACTCCAAAGTTTTTTTCGCTAATTTTTGTAATCTTAACTCAAAATATGAGTGGATAATAGTATAGTGGATTAGCTAATGGTTTGAGTAAGTTTTTCTCTTAATTTTTTTATCTATATATGACACTAAGGGTGGAGAGTACGTAAGGTCATCAAATTTTTGAGGTTCAATAATCCCAACATTACCATCTATAAAATTGGTTTAGGGCAAAGATTGTTTACGGATTGTGTGAGTGATGCATTGTTGAGTATGTTGGTTGAAAATGTATTTTAATACTAAGAGTAGTTGTTCATTGCATGAGTAAATAATTAGATAATTAAAAATTATATTTATCAAAATATAACATCAAGTAAATCAAAATAAAAAAAAACGGAAAAAAGCCGCGGCGTAAAGCGGGTGATCAACTAGCAACTAGAACAATCAAAATAATTTGTTATTAACAACTTTTAAAACAAACTCACGCGTAGCGTGGGTATTTATCTAGTATTAATAAAAGTTAGAGAACGCAATGCTTGAGAACCGAAAGCCAAATTTATGGGTGTTTAATCCGGATAAACCGATCTGATCTAAACTAAACCAAACCGAAATACAAAATGTTAACACCAAACCATATATGACTATGATTTACATGAATTCATTTTTCTATATTATAGAAACCAAACCGAAAACAAAAATCTATTTTTGTAAGAAAAAATTAAGCATATATTTGACTAAACTATGCAGTGGGTCTGCCATTTGCGAGTGCCCTACGCAAAACTTAATTTTTTTTTGCTTTTTACTTATACTACAAAAACCATAAACGAATCATTATCGGATTTGCAGCTTTTTTTTAAACCAATTTGCAAAAGACGAAAGGAAAAACTGTAGCGTCGATTATCATGTTTCATGTAACCAAGTTCAAAGAAGAAGAAACTGTACTGTCTGATTTATTTTTATTCAATCAACGTTTTTGGGGTTTTTTTTTTGTTTTTTATTAAATCAAAATCTTAGTGTTAAAGATATAATTAGTTTGTCTCTTAAAGTTCATATTATTTTTCTAAAAGGTCCTACCGAATGAATTTATAGTTTTTGTAATATACCCAAAACTTAACAACTTTTAATTTAAAAGGTCCTAAAATTTTGAGGCCCCAATCGTTGACTTCACTTGTTTGGCCTCTGAACCGGGCCTGAAACTATGAATCCGAATCAAAACCGAAACAATACCATTGAATACCATTATTCATACATCGATACGAAAAATCGAATAACATGAACCGAAACCCCGATTTAGACATCCCTAGTTAAAATGCATCTTTTACTTGTTTTGTTACTTACTAGAAAGCCAAATCTAGTAGAGGCACGAGAGACTCTAGACCTTTCAGAGGGTCCAAATATAGAGATGCAACAAATATTTATAGTACTTGTAGTACTATTTTGAATCCATTATTAAAACCTAATCTCGAGTAACATGTAATTACTGATTAGATTTTCTCTAACGTTTCAAGATCTTGTCTATAATAATTATACGTATAAATACTAATTATTACGATTATTTTAACATGTTTGACGGTTTTAGAAGCTAAGTCAAAATTTAACATTTGGATTCGAAGGAAAGGAACATATTTTCTAAATTTACAAGAAACAGAAAGGAATATTTTCTATTTTCAACTCTAGTAATATACAAATACAAACACAACTATATAATATAGTATTGATCATGTGATTAATATTCGAATCGGTTAAACTCATGTGATTTAAATCAAGATTAATTAAATAAAAAACTATATATTATAAAATTATTTATTTATTTCCCAAATTATTACATATTTTGTCTTAAACTCAATTTAATTAGCTTGTTCACAAGGAAATGCCTCAAAAGAGGAAAGACGATTGATTCATCTTACCTTCATCTTCTTTAGAAACAAACAACAATGTCATAAAAAGTTTGATCCTTTCTCTTTAGATTTGGCTTTCGAAAATGGCTCGCGATCGGCGGGAAGGTCTGGAGATTAAGGTGGTGAATCCACCGGCGGCGACAAACAATGTGTCTGTAGAAACGTCTCCGGCGACGGCGACGAGGAGACGGAGACAACAACGAGCTTCGTTCGCTGAGTTTAGACCGTTTAAACTTTGGTTTCCATGGCTTGTTCCAGCTATCGTGGTGGCTAACATTGCCCTTTTTGCCATTTCGATGTTTATTAACAATTGTCCTAAGAACTCGGCTTATTGCTCAGCTAGGTTTCTTGGGAGATTTGCTTTTCAGCCTATGAAAGAGAATCCTCTTCTGGGTCCTTCTTCTTTGACGTGGGTAACCTTAAAGATCTCAACTTTGATTCGAAAAGATTCCACATTTTGGTTGAGATTCGTGTCTCTGAGTTTGAAATGTTGAAACTTTTTTTGTTTCTGATGATTGGATTTGTTAATGTGGTGATGGGTTATTAAAAAGTTCATTACTTTGTACAATTTGGATTAGATCTTAGACTGTGCTGCTGAGAATGAAATTTGGTGAAATTATAGTTGTGGCATTGCATTTTAACAGTTAGTAGATGTATATGTTTATTGTAGATGTTTATTAAGCTTGTCTTGTGGATGAATCATGAATGTTTAGTTAGTAGTGTAAATGGTTTTGTTTTGAGTTAGAAGTGTTATAGACTTATAGTTATGTGTGTTCTTTGATACCAGATTGGAGAAGATGGGGGCTTTAGATGTATCAATGGTGGTTCATAATCACGAGGTGTGGCGATTGTTCACGTGTATATGGCTACATGCTGGAGTTTTTCATGTTCTTGCCAACATGTTGAGTCTTATCTTCATTGGCATTCGACTCGAGCAAGAATTTGGATTTGGTATGCATCTTAATTTTTCTCAGCCTTTGATCTTTATTAAGGATGAAGTTGTTACTCTGCATTTTGGTTCTTTCTGTCTCATGATGGAAGTTTAGAAATTTTGCGAGATTACTGGATCATGAGTTGATTTATGTGCCACAATGTATATGGTTGATGCTGAAGACTTACCTTTTATTTACTTATTCTCATTTTCTTTGACAGTACGCATTGGATTGCTTTATATGATATCTGGATTTGGTGGAAGTTTGTTATCTTCTCTCTTTAACCGGGCTGGTATATCCGTCGGTGCCTCTGGAGCATTATTCGGCTTGCTTGGTGCTATGCTTTCAGAGCTTCTCACTAATTGGACTATTTACGCAAATAAGGTAGCCAAATTTTCCCTAGTTAAACAAGCCTTTCGATGAATGATGTGTCTAAAAAATGTCATCGGTTTTCTTCATTTGCAGTTTGCAGCTCTTTTGACACTCATCTTCATCATAGCCATTAATTTAGCAGTAGGTATTCTTCCACATGTAGACAACTTTGCCCATCTTGGAGGATTCACATCCGGGTTTCTTCTAGGCTTTGTTTTCTTGATCCGTCCTCAGTATGGATACTTCAACCAGAGGAATAATCCTCGCGGTTATGCTGCACCGTCTGCTAAATCCAAACACAAGCCATACCAATACGTTCTTTGGATCACCTCTTTAGTGCTTTTAATAGCTGGGTATGCTTCTTTTTCTTTCACCATGAATCGATTACAAAATGAAATACAGATTCCAGTCGATTCTTTAATGCAAATTTATGAAATTTGGTGTTAGATATACCACTGGACTCGTAGTGCTTCTTCGAGGGACGGATCTAAACAAGCATTGTTCATGGTGCCATTATCTCAGCTGTATTCCTACGTCGCTATGGAGCTGTAAATCTCAAAATGTCTACTGTGAGGTAAAAACTTCTTATGCTCTTTATCTAACATATATAGTTTGATCCCACCATTCTTGTTCTGTACTTAATAGTTTTGTGTTAATACTTAAAAAGAAGACACTAATCTTTGTGTGTGACCATCAAAACCGGGTTCGGGACTAGATAGAAACTAGATAGGCATTGCGGAAGATAGAACAAATACCTTTCATTTCATATTTTTCGGGATCTTTTTGTTGTATTCGAGTTTATAAAACTGAGAGTGATTGCGGAATTCGTGCAGTCGAGCCAAATTGGACAGCAGATGAACTTGACATGTATCGCGAATGGGAAAACAGAGATGTACAAGCTTTCTAACGATATCCCGTCTCGGGTTCAGCAGTTGTGTTCCCAATTGTGCCGTTAATACCACTAAACGTCTAATTTTTATACTCTGTAGAAAGTTAGGAATGTCTTGGGGAAGAGAAAGATTGTTCATTTAACATGATCATGCACTTGTGGATTCTTCTTTCTGATCATTGTTTGGTTCCACTTCTTGTTTTGTTGCATATGTATTGACCATGATCTATGTAATGAGAACATAGGTGAAGAGAAAGTTGAACCAAGTTTTTGTTATTTAACATTTTAATTATAAATCAAGATGTTTAATATAATCTATAATCTATTTTGCATTTAAGTTATATAAAAATATTAATTAGTTATATATATCAAACCATTTATATAATTGAACTAAATCATCACCCGTACTGTAGTACAGGTTAAATTTTATTTATTACAAAATTTATATATTATATATTTTAGAATAAAGTTGTGATATATTATAATAGTAATTGAAAAAATATAATTAGATTTTTGTCAGTCCCTATATATTATATTAGAATGAATATATTTTCTTTTTTTAATTATACTCAATTATGGATATATTTTTTTAAGATATGAAAACGGAAAATAAAATTATTTTAATAAATTAATATGGTCTGAACAATGAGTTAATTTATATTAACAACCACAAAATGAGATTGCATATAATTCGGTTAGATTAAAAATCAAAATATTATAAATGAATCGCTTCTAAAACGTAGATTATTTTTAATTAATTAAGAAAGTTAGCTATTATTTTGAATTAATTTAGGAAATTCTTTTTTCAATTTCTAATTCTTTGGTTGTTGAAATAGAGATTTGTTTGAGGTAACTACGGAATTTACCAATTATTCGCGTAATTGAATATGTTATGAACATATATTTAGTATATAATATACCAAATTCAACCCGAGCGTGGAGTCTATATTTTTATTTTAGAATCCTAATGAAAATATTGCGTGCACAATCTATTATTCGTTATTTCCAAAATTGCTTGCACATCAAATTTTCAAATATTTTGTGGTGTCAACCTTATTTAATCTATCTGATCATATAATCTTAACATGCCGTATATTATAAGGATCATAATTTTATATTATATAATATATTACATTTAACCCTCCGCCTATTATAACTATTTTAAATATATCTTTTTAGAAAATCAAATTAAAGTATTTATAAATTTTTTTATCTTTTTGATCTATTAAATATTTATGATATTCATTTAAATATTAAATTAAACTATTTTAAAATGTTCCAAATTAAAATCTTTAAAAATATTTCTTGTAGTATATAAAATTATGAATTTCAAAAAAGAATTATATGAAATTAAATAGAAATATTCAAACAGTTATAAGGATCATAACTCATTTGTTAATATAATATATTATATTTAACCCACTGCCTATTATAAATATTTGTTTTAAAAAAATCAAATTAGAGTATTTATTGATGATATTCTTTAAATATTGATGATATTCTTGAAAAATATCAAGTAAAACTAATTTTATATGTTGCAAATTAAAATATTTAAAATTTTTATTGTAGTATATAAAATAATACATTTCAAAAAATAAATGTATGAAATTGAATATAAATATTCAAATTCTGTCCCGTTACTCAGTCGAAATTTTTGTTGAACTTATTTTTGGTTAAAAGAAATATATTACTCAAATGTGAATTTTTGACCCATTAAATTTTTTTCTTCATAGATTTAACAATTTATTTTCGTTTTTAAAAATTCAAATCTTGGCATATGCAGAAAAAATTTACTTTTTTTTGTTATATGGATGATATGATGATTTATTTGTTTCATAAAAATAGAATCATATAAAGATGAGAGGTGAAGTATAATGATTAATAACAAATTAATATGGTAAGTTAGATATCAAATCTTATATGTTCATTTTGATTGGTCATTCTTTTTTTTAAGTTAATAATATATTTTCGTTTTTAATAATTAAATTAATTAAATTACATAAATTAGTATTTGACTTGTTTATATTTAATGAGCTGAATTAATCCTATACTATTATTTGGGGAGTACACTTTATAAGATACCCTTAACTAACCTTCCCTTTTGTAAAAAATTACATGAGAATGCCATTAGAAATAAAAATTTATAGAGTAAATTAATTCAACTCATTAAGGATAAACAAGTCAAATACTATTTTATGTAATTTAATTAATTTAATTTAATTATAAAAACGAAAATCTATTATTAATTTTTTTAAAAAAGAATGACCAATCAAAATGAACATATAAGATTTGATATCTAACTTATCATATTAATTTGTTATTAATCATTATACTTCACCTCTCATCTTTATATTATTCTATTTCTATAAAATAAATAAATTATTATATCATCTACATAATAAAAAAAAAAAAAAAATTTCCGCATATACAAAGATTTGAATTTTTAAAAACGAATATAAATTGTTCAATGTATGAAAGAACAAATTTAACGGGAATTCATATTTGAGTAATATATTCCTTTTTTTAATATCATCAATACTTAATAGATCAAAAAGTTAAGAAATATAAATACTCTAATTTGATTTTTGAAACAAATATTTATAATTGGCGGCGGGTTAAATATAATGTATTATATGATGAAATGAGTTATGATCCTTATAACTATTTGAATATTTATATTTAATTTCATATATATATATATTTAAATTCATAATTTTACATACTACAAGAAAATTTTTAAAGATTTTAATTTGGAATATTTTAAAAAAGTTTAATTTAATATATTAAAGAATATCATAAATATTTAATAGATTAAAAAGATAAAAAAAAATACTAATTTGATTTTTTTAAAACATATGTTTAATATATTTATAGTAGGCTGCACGTTAAAAGTAATGTATTATATGATAGAAAGTTATGATCCTTATAATAGACGACATTTTAAGATTTTATGATGAGATGAGTTAAATAAGGTTTGACACTTCTAAATATTTGACAATTTAATTCTGCAAGCAATTTTGGAAATAATGAATAATAGATTGTGCCGCAATATTTTCATAGGGATTGTAAAATGAAAATATAGACTCCACACACGGATCGAATTTGGTATTATTATAAACCAAATATATGTTCATAACATATTCGATTATGTGAATAATTGGTAAATTCCGTAATTAGCTCATACAAATCTCTATTTCAACAACCAATGAATTAGAATTTGAAAAAATAATTTCCTAAATTAATTCAAACTAATAGCTAACTTTTTTGACTAATTCAAAATAATCTACGTTTTAGATGCGATTCATATATGATATTTTGATTTTTGATCTAACTATTATATGCACTCTCATTTTGTGGTTGTTAACATAAATTAACTCATTGTTCAAACAATATTATTTTTTTTGAAAATAATATTATTTTCCGTTTTCATATCTTAAAAAAATATACCCATAATTGAGGATTACAGAAAAAGAAAAATATATTCATTCTAATATTATATATATGGACTGACAGAAAAAAATTAATATTTTTTTACTTACTAAAATAATATATCACGACTTTATTCTATAACTATATAATATATAAATTTTGTAATAAATGAAATTCAACCCGTACTACAGTACGGGTGATGATCTAGTTTACTCTTTAAATTTTTATCTCTAATGGCATTCTAATGTAATAACTTACAAATGGGAAGGTTATTAAAGGGTAATTATAAATTGTACTCCCCAAATAATAGTATACGATTAAAATAAATGTAATCTATTAAAAGCAAAATTATACTAACTTTTGAATTTCCACTAAGGTACGGAGGAGCAAATTATATAATTAATTTAAAAAATTGAAATTGATTACTTAAAAGTTAAAAAGGATCTAATCATATTTTTAGTTTCATACGTACATATGATTAGTGCGAATATGAAAACTCCACTACCAACCATCTTACTCTTTTTTTTCTCCAGTAACATCTACGTACATATGCGTGTTTGAATTTACATGATATCTCTATAACATTATCACAAATCATTAAATATATTTCTTACCAATTTGAAAAATCTCACTTTATGTCACCGATCCAATCCTAATTTTTCTTTTTTGTGCATTAAACTCTTATGTATTCTTACGTAGCTTTAACTTTATCACATCTATGGTCTTTTTATTCTTTAGGTCTCCTCCACCCATCGTAATGTTAGGTCGGTCGGTGGATTATATTATTGTTTATCCATTGGTTGTTACTTTGGAAATTCACAAATACCAAAATCATTATATGAATCTTGATTTCATAATCGTTGTCACATTTACATACTCAAAATTTGACACTAGACTTACCAAAACCAGTTGGCGCCAAATCTCAAAATAGTATAATCATGATTGTAGTAATTTTGTTATAATGGTTATAAATTCAAAGAACGTCCGAAATGGTCTTAAGTAATTTCCTGACCAAGTGGATTTCTGATTCATATAAAGAGGACAAAAGTAGTGATTAAACAAATGTAAAACTTGTATCTATCTTCTATTTATTCTTCTCTATAGTTTTATACATAAAAAAATACTTAGTCTCCACCACTTACACAGATCATTTCCTCCAACACAAAGCTTTCTTCTTCCATAGCATCTGATTCATCGCATCTTAATCTCAAACAGGTATGCTCACAAATTGTGTTTCTTACCAAAACAAAATTCACTTTGTTTCGTGTAATTAGATTCTCTGTTTTCTTGTGCTTATTAATCTTGATCAGGGACAAGAACATAAGCAGGTTTTTGTGTCGGAGACTAAGAATATAACAAGGATTTTTCGTTTTCTTGTGTAACAATTTTTAGGGTTTATTAGGGTTCTTGATTTCATCAATGGGTTCTTACTCAGCTGGCTTCCCTGGATCTTTGGACTGGTTTGATTTTCCCGGTTTAGGAAACGGATTCTATCTAAATGATCAACCTTTGTTAGATATTGGATCTGTTCCTCCTCCTCCAGAGCCATATTCGCAACCGAATCTTGCTTCTGCGGATGCTGATTTCTCTGATTCTGTTTTGAAGTACATAAGTCAAGTTCTTATGGAAGAAGATATGGAAGATAAGCCTTGTATGTTTCATGATGCTTTGTCTCTTCAAGCAGCTGAGAAATCTCTCTATGAAGCTCTCGGCGAGAAGTACCCGGTTGATGATTCTGATCAGCCTTTGACTACTACTAGCCTTGCTCAATTGGTTAGTAGTCCTGATGGTTCTTCTTATGCTTCAAGCACCACAACCATTTCTTCTGATTCACAATGGAGTTTTGATTGTTTGGAGAATAATAGGCCTTCTTCTTGGTTGCAGACACCGATCCTGAGTAACTTCGTTTTTCAGTCCACTTCTACTAGAACCAGTAGCGGTAATGCGGTTTTCGGGTCAAGTTTTAGCGGTGATTTGGCTTCTAATATGTTTAACGATAGCGAATTGGCGTTGCAATTCAAGAAAGGGATGGAGGAAGCTAGTAAGTTCCTTCCTAAGAGCTCTCAGTTGGTTATAGATGTCGAAAATTACAGCCCGGCTTTGACATCCAAGGAGAAGGATAACTCTGTTCCTTACAGATTAACCGGAAAGAAGAGCCATTGGCGCGAAGATGAACATTTGGCTGAAGAAAGAAGTAAGAAGCAATCAGCTGTTTATGTTGATGAAACTGATGAGCTGACTGAGATGTTTGACAAGATTCTGATATTTGGCGAGGCTAAGGAACAACCTGTATGCATTCTTAACGAGAATTTCCCGAAGGAACCCGCGAAAGCTTCATCGTTTGGTAAGAGTCAAAAAGGCGAGAAACCGGACGCTAGTGGTAACAGTTATACAAAAGAGACACCTGATTTGAGGACAATGTTGGTTTCTTGTGCTCAAGCTGTGTCGATTAATGATCGTAGAACCGCTGACGATCTCTTAAGTCGGATTAGGCAACATTCTTCATCTTACGGCGATGGAACAGAGAGATTGGCTCATTACTTCGCTAACAGTCTTGAAGCACGTTTGGCTGGGATAGGTACACAGGTTTATACCGCCTTGTCTTCCAAGAAAACATCTACTTCTGACATGTTGAAAGCTTACCAAACTTACATATCAGTCTGCCCGTTCAAGAAAATCGCAATCATATTCGCTAACCACAGTATTATGCGGTTGGCTTCGATTGCTAATGCGAAGACCATCCACATCATAGATTTTGGAATATCTTATGGTTTCCAGTGGCCTTCTTTGATTCATCGCCTTGCTTGGAGACGTGGTTCATCTTGTAAGCTTCGGATAACCGGTATAGAGTTGCCTCAACGTGGTTTTAGACCAGCGGAGGGAGTTATTGAGACGGGTCATCGCTTAGCTAAGTATTGTCAGAAGTTCAATGTTCCGTTTGAGTACAATGCAATTGCGCAGAAATGGGAAACAATCAAATTGGAGGACTTGAAGCTAAAAGAAGGCGAGTTTGTTGCGGTAAACTCTTTATTTCGATTTAGGAACCTTCTAGATGAGACGGTGGCAGTGCACAGCCCGAGAGATACGGTTCTGAAGCTGATAAGGAAGATAAAGCCAGACGTATTCATCCCCGGGATCCTCAGCGGATCTTACAACGCGCCTTTCTTTGTCACGAGGTTTAGAGAAGTTCTGTTTCATTACTCGTCTCTGTTTGACATGTGTGACGCGAATCTAACACGGGAAGATCCAATGAGGGTTATGTTTGAGAAAGAGTTCTATGGGAGGGAGATCATGAATGTGGTGGCGTGTGAGGGGACAGAGAGAGTGGAGAGACCAGAGAGTTATAAGCAGTGGCAGGCGAGGGCGATGAGAGCCGGGTTTAGACAGATTCCACTGGATAAGGAACTGGTTCAGAAACTGAAGTTGCTGGTGGAAAGTGGATACAAAACGAAAGAGTTTGATGTTGATCAAGATTGTCACTGGTTACTTCAGGGCTGGAAAGGTAGAATTGTGTATGGTTCATCTGTTTGGGTTCCTTTGTAGACAGTATCTCTTGCATCCCAAGGAATGATTCTATTTTAGGGCTCTTGGTTCTTCTTTAGGGGGTTTCTATACTTCCTGTAACAATAGTATCCGGTTAGGGCTATTACTACTTAGGCATGAGTCTATGATGTAAAAAAAATAACTATTTTACTTGTAACATTTTAATGTATATCTTTGACAAAAAAAAAAAAAAACATTTTAATGTATATTGATAATGTTGGATAATGGTTAACTTAGGTAAACACTTTATGGCTATTAATTATTTGCAAAATATAACGTAAAGGCAAACGCATAGATAAGTGAAAAATGTTTTGGGTGTTTTGACCAAAATGTTTTTAGCTATTTTGTTGAATAACATATCGTCGAAACAATTGGGTCAGGTAAAACAGTTTATGCATGAAGATTTAAGTGGAATAAAGATGATTGAAATGGAGATTAATACTCTTGAAAACTTGAAATGATGTGCATTAATAGATTTGTCTTACTCATTCTTTATGAATACAGTAGAGGAGTACTTAAAAAAAAAACTTCTTAACATTTTCTTAATTTTTTATTCCAGCAAAATTTATTTAGTTATTTTTCCATTGGGTTCCATTACAAAATTCAAATGGTAAATTTTAGAAGAATGTATAATTCCACCATATTATTCTTAAAAATTACTTCAATGTTTAGGTGCACTGCTCAATTCATTGTAAGATATGTGTCTCAAGCCTCTGTTCACTCCATCTCGTGGGAACGCAATAGGCGAATGCACATACAACAGTCCACACCTCCGACAACGCTCATCCACGCTATTGATCACATTGTTCGGTATCAGCTTTCAACAATACAGGAAACGGATTCAAACAAATTCAAAGATTAGGTGTGTCTATCTTCTTATCTGTTTTTATACACTTAGTCTTTTTTATTTTACATTTTTGGATCGACAAGGTCCGATCCATAGTCAATCCCTACTACTCGGAATAACGCGATTTAGTTGAATCGAACTCTGGTGGGAACTGTGTAGTCAATTATACTTAACCACTTGACTAAAAACATTTTCCTTACACTCGAAGTTCTTCTCATAGGCAAAATGTTGCATTTAATGTACACAAAATTTTATAGTTGGATAAATTTTACATTTATTAAAAAAAAAAGAAGTTTACTTCAATTTTAAGACTAAAGCACCCAAAAAGTATTGAACTTCTATCAGTGGAACATCGAATTGGGCCAAAGCCCAAGCTAAAACTTTAGAGAGATGAAACAAGTCAACCAAAATACCGAACCGTCACCAATTTCTGTTTGACTTCTGGAGACGAGTGTCTCTCTGGACCACTTCTTCGTTCCTGTAAAAAAACCTCATTTGGTACTTTTCCTGAGAAAGCTGTCCTAAAACCCTAACCACACACATCTGTAATAATTCAAAGATCATAACTTTAAACCTCGTACATCATCAGATTCATTCAAACTGAGGTAAGCAATGACATCAATTTCCCGTATTTCACGTGTTCTCTTTCACATGTGCAATTCAATTTCGGTTGCTTCTCGAATCTAAAGTTTGAATTTTTAATTCTCCTTTGACCTCTCTCTGTTCTTCTTTCTTGTGTAGCTTTTCTATGTGGGTTTTGTTACAGAACAACTAGGGTTTTGATTATGGATCCAAACATCTCTGAATCTCTCAACAGCTTTGAGTATTTCGATGGAAACCCTAATTTTCTAGCTGATCCAATGGAAGATCAGTATCCACCACCATCTGATACTTTGTTGAAATATGTGAGTGAGATTCTTATGGAAGAGAGTAATGGAGATTATAAGCAGTCTATGTTCTATGATTCATTGGCTTTACGAAAAACCGAAGAAATGTTGCAGCAAGTCATTACTGATTCTCAAAATCAGTCCTTTAGTCCTGATTCTATGATTACTAATTCTTGGGATGCAAGTGGAAGTATCGAATCAGGTTATTCGGCTGATCCGCAAATCGGTTTACCTGTGGATGAGTCTATGGTCAAGAGTATGTTTAGTGATGCTGAATCAGCGCTACAGTTTAAGAAAGGGGTTGAAGAAGCTAGTAAATTCCTTCCTAATAGTGATCAATGGGTTATCAATCTGGATATGGAGAGACCCGAAAGGCGAGGTTTGGTTAAAGAAGAGATGGGATTGAATCAGTTGAGAGTTAAGAAGAATCATGAAAGGGAAATTCTTGATTTTGAGGAAGTTAGGAGTAGTAAGCAGTTTGCTAGTAATGTAGAAGATGGGAAGATTACAGAGATGTTTGATAAGGTTTTGCTTCTTGACGGTGAATGCGATCCGCAAACATTGTTAGACAGCGAAATTCAAGCGATTCGGAGTACGAAAAACAGAGGAGAGAAGGGGAAGAAGAAGACGAAGAAGAAGAAGAGTCCGGTGGTTGATTTTCGTACACTTCTCACTCATTGTGCACAAGCCATTTCGACAGGCGATAAAACTACGGCTCTTGAGTTTCTGTTGCAGATAAGGCAACAATCTTCGCCTCTTGGTGACGCGGGGCAGAGACTGGCTCATTGTTTCGCCAATGCGCTCGAGGCTCGTCTACAGGGAAGTACCGGTCCTATGATCCAGACTTATTACAATGCTATAACCACCTCGTTGAAGGATACCGCTTCCGATACACTTAAAGCGTACCGAGTTTATCTTTCTTCATCTCCGTTTGTTACCTTGATGTATTTCTTCTCCATCAGGATGATTCTTGATGTGGCGAAAGATGCTCCGGTTCTTCATATAGTCGATTTTGGGATTCTCTACGGGTTTCAGTGGCCGATGTTTATTCAGTACATATCAGGTCGAAATGATGTACCGCGGAAACTGCGGATTACTGGTATTGAGCTGCCTCAGTGCGGATTTCGCCCTGCGGAACGAATAGAGGAGACAGGACGGAGATTGGCGGAGTACTGTAAACGGTTCAACGTCCCGTTCGAGTACAAAGCCATTGCGTCTCAGAACTGGGAAACAATCCGGATAGAAGATCTCGATATAAGACCAAATGAAGTCTTAGCGGTTAACGCCGGACTAAGGCTCAAGAACCTTCAAGACGAAACAGGAAGTGAAGAGAATTGCCCGAGAGACGCTGTCTTGAAGCTAATAAGAAACATGAACCCGGACGTTTTCATACACGCAATTGTCAACGGTTCATTCAACGCACCTTTCTTCATCTCACGGTTCAAAGAAGCGGTTTACCATTACTCCGCTCTCTTCGACATGTTTGATTCGACGCTGCCTCGGGATAACGAAGAAAGAATTAGGTTCGAGAGGGAGTTTTACGGGAGAGAGGCTATGAACGTGATAGCGTGCGAGGAAGCTGATCGAGTCGAGAGGCCGGAGACTTACAGGCAATGGCAGGTGAGGATGGTTAGAGCTGGGTTTAGGCAGAAAACGATTAAGCCTGAGCTGGTAGAGTTGTTTAGGGAAAAACTGAAGAAATGGCGTTACCATAAAGACTTTGTGATTGATGAAAATAGTAAATGGTTGTTACAAGGCTGGAAAGGTCGAACTCTTTATGCTTCTTCTTGTTGGGTTCCTGCGTAGTGATTTAGTGTTGTTTTGTAGTTTTGTTACAAAAATCATGTAATTTTAGGTAGGAATATATCTGATAAGTTTACAAGAATTTCTAGCTAAATTTCTGTCCTATTTGAATAAAAATGTTTGGCATTATAAGTGAACTTGGGATTATAAGTTTATACTTTATAATAACTAAAGTTAACTTAATTTCCCACTTAGGAGTAATCCGAGATAATGGGGTTTAAAACATTAGTAACTAATGTAAAACTCTTCATTTGGTATCCATTCAAGTTTGGTTTGTTTCGGTTTTTATTTTTTAATCAAATTTAATATTTTAAAAGAAATTCTATATCGAATCTATTTAATTTTATTTTATTTTTGGTTGAATAAATAAAACCAAAACAGTTTGTAATTTGTATTATCGAGTTCTATATTATATCTAACTTTTTTTTTCTCTGATCATATTTTCTAAAAGTTTTGAATTTTACGAAAACTTCTTTTTTTTTGGATTTAATTTTTTCGTTTAGTTTATGTATAGTCACTTAAATGCTTGTTGATGTTGTTGACGATTTTCATTAGAATAATATCAATAGTATTGACAAAACTAAAAGATCATCGGTGACAAAGTTGATAAAGCTAAATCACGGATTAACAATATCAGAGCAGTGTCGATATTCAGAAGACTGAATCCTTTGGCTAAGGAGTTTATCCCTTCTCACTATAACTCTAAGAAGACCAATTAGATGAAAATGATAAATTATATGGTGACGAAAAGAGAGATATGATCATCTATTTAGATATGATTCTCATAATAAATTGAATCTTCAATAATTATATATAAATAAATAAATAAATAGTAAAATGAATATTAAAACCTTCAAAACCACCTTCTAAGCTTCAAGATGTATGGAGGATTTGCAATGATTTTCATTTTACAAACTTATATGAAAATCAAGTTTGAATAAGGATATATTTGGATTGCACATATGGTGTACACCATTGAGCAATCATAACACATTGATTGAATCACCATCAAGAGAAAGAAGATGCTCTCGTCTAAAAACATATACAATAGTGAACACTTAGATTTTATTTCACCTTGCCTTGTTTTGATGTCGTCGATGTAGAGTTTTTCTTCTTATACTGAAATGATTTTTTTTTTTCAATTTGATAGTCAAAGGTTCATAAACATATCTTAGATGAGAAATAAGCTTCAATATAGGAAATTTCTTGCAGCAATATTTACATTGCAGCTTGGGTGACATCACGTCTTCACGTAAGTACCATTTTGAAGACTAAATACATCATACTCATTTTTGTAATGTACAAACAAATCATCATTAGCAAATACCAATTCTTCTTCACTATGTCAAACATGTCGTTCGTTACCAATGAAGACAAAATATGATGAATCTTCCTTATTTCTCGATTTCTTGTTGTTCTACATTGTCGAATATCCTTTTTTGTTTTGAGTAAAAAAAGGTTAAAGTATTACACTTCTTGCTTATTTTTAGATCTCATGGATGGTAAAAAATGAAAAAAATAGATTAAGCTTGAAATACAATGTTAATAGGTTGTATCTTCAATAATTATATATAAATAATAAAATATAGTTAGATGAATATCAAATCCTTCGATACCAACTGAAAAGATTGAAGTTTGAATAGAGATATTTTATCCAAAATTTTGTTTCTTTTAACCCATCTTTTCAAAAATTATGATATTTTCTTATGAATGAATCTCTTAATGGTAGGTGACACTATATCATATCTCATAATTGTTGTAGTTACTAATTAATTTCACTCGCTCACATATCACCTCAATTCTTATATACAGTAAAACCTCTATAAATTAATAATGTTGGGACCATGATATTTTATTAATTTATAGTAATATTAATTTATCTATAAATTAATATTTATTAATTTATAGTGCAAATTAATATTTATTAATTTATAGAAAGTTTTGTTTTAATTGTTAAAAAAAGTTAAAATATGAGAGAAAACAATGTGATCTAAATAAAATTAATGTTTTGGATGTTATAAATTTTATAGTTTTAGACTTAAACATTTAATATTTCGAAGAGAAAACAATTATTTTTTTGACAATGAATAACAAAAATTATAGAATTTACATATATAAACGATATACATAAATCAAAATTTATAAATAATGACATCTATAGTTGTATTTAAAAAACATATACGACTAATAAAACAAAAATGATGCATATTCAAAATTTGAAAACTTAGAGTAAAGTTTGGCTATTTTTATGAAAACACTAATATATATATATATATATACAAATTTACATGATTATTAATTTATTATATTATTGGGACAATATTTTTATATAGAGATTTCAAAAAAATTATTTTATTATTATCTTATCGAATTTAGTTAAATTTTACATTGGCCCGACTCGGGACCGGTAAAATTTATTAATTTATCGTGTTTATTAATTTATCGAGTATTAATTTATAGAGGTTCTACTGTATACACTTAACATATTTACGTATTAAAAAAGTATAATTGTATATATATACTCTAAAGATTCACCAAACCTTAACGAGAACAAACAAAAAAAACTAACATGCTATAAATAAGTATTTAGAGAATGTCAAGATTTTGCTTCCAATAATCTGTGATGCAGTAGAAATATATCAGTGTCTCAAAACTAAACTCACTTGGAGGCTTTTTTGTTCGGTAAATAACCTATTGTTTTAATTTTCATGTAGGATTAACTAGGTAGAGTGACAAACCAATTAATGTGCGCCACATATTCCTTTTACATTGATACATATGAGAATATATAATTCCAGTTTATTCGACCCGTTAAAACCTATAAAAGAAGTGTCTCAAAACTATCTCACTTGGAGGTTTTTTCTTGTTCGATAAATAACCTATTGTATTAAATTCCACGTAAGATTAACAAGGTTGAGTAACAAACCAATTAATCTGCGCCACGTGTTCCTTTTACTTTTTACATACGAGAATATACGATCCCAGTTTCTTCGGTCCGTTAAAACTTATAAAAGAGTGCCTCAAAACTAAACTCACTTAGAGGCTTTCTTGTTCAGTAAATAACCTATTGTATTAAATTCCACGTAGGATTAACTAGGTCGAGTAACAAACCAATTAATGTACGCCATGTGTTCTTTTTACTTTGATACATACGAGAATATACGATCCCAGTTTATTTGGCCCGTTAAAACCTATAAAAGAAGTGTCTTAAATCTAAATTCACTTGGAGGCTTTTCTGTTCGGTAAATAACGTATTGTATTAAATTCCACGTAGGATTAACAAGTCGAGTAACAAACCAATTAATCTGCGCATCTGTTTTTTTTACTTTGATACATACGAGAATATATGATCCCAGTTTCTTCGACCCGTTAAAACCTAGAAAAGAAGTGTCTCAAAACTAAACTCACTTGGACGATTTTTGTTCGGTAAATAACTTATTATATTAAACTAGATAAAGCCCGCGTAAATACGCGGGTTAAAAACTAAATAGAAATTTATATCGATAATATTTGAAATCTAAATAATAATTTATATATTTTTGATCTTATATGATAATTCTTTTAAAGCGGATTTGAACCTCACATATTCCATTTTCCAATATAATTTAATTATCTATATCATCATAATAAACCATATTTTAATCTTTACACCCTTAATGAATTATACCTCAATTTTTTTATATCAAACCCAATATATACATAATATTAAATCTATATCTTAGTTAGATTTTAAAAATTAACAAAATAAACATAATTAGTAAAAAAACAAAATATAATACACAAAGAAATTTGGAAATCCAACATGGTCTTAATCAAGAATACATACTACTTGACAATCATATGAGTTGATAATATATTTTTTTTCAATCATATTTAACTTTTTTTTTGTTTTCTGAATTGACATCTGAAATAATTAGTTTCTTTTTCTTTCTTTTATGTGTTTTTTTTTTCTTATTTTTAAGATGGGTAGTTGATTAACACATGAAACCTAGACAAATTTAAATTTTGTATTTTTATTTGAATAAAATTTAGTGAATTATTTATGTTTTTCTTTTTTTTGAATCGGCAATTAAAAATAAATTGAGTTTTTTTTCTTTACCGTTTTAAGATTAGCAATTGATTGCATAATTTATCTAATTTAATTTGAGAATGAAATAAATATTTTTCTTACCTTTTCATTAAATTTAATTATATATTTTAGATTCAATCCATATTTATATTAATATAATATCAAAATCTAATTAGTTAAATTTTTTTTCAAGTGTCAAAATCTTATCGAGATACTTGAGACGTATCGCAATTATTAACTTTTAAAACTATACTTTATATAATAAGATTCCACGTAGGATTAACCCGAAGTTTGTTGATACATCGGAAAATATACTATCACAGGCCCATTAAAACCTATAAAAGAAGTATCTCCCTCTTCTTCTCTCTGCAATCAAAACAACTTTTCCAATTTTCCAGTTCTGATCTGTTACCATTGACTAATACGACCTTCAAGCTTTAAAACCCTATAATCGGATCGTTTCCTTCTTTGGTATAGTTGATCAAACTCTAGTTAACTTTATTGTTCTTCCTCTGTTGGATTTTAACCCAATAAAAGTGTTCAAAATTGTCCCGATCATCTTTATCGTTCTTGTTAAACTATTTAATCAATCTGGATTCATCCACTAAGGTTCCATAAGTTTGGATTTTAGTTTGTTTTAAGTTTTTCCGATGATCGCTTTTGATTTTGTTTTCTGGAGAGATCTTATCTTTATGGGTTTGAAACTTTGAATTGAAATTCGTATTGGATCATTGTATAGAATTCTGTAGTTGATTTTTGCTCTGTTTTTTTTTGTGCCCGTAAGGTATTCGATGATTTGCCTCAATGGGTTTTGTTGTAAACCAGAATTTTCTAAATCTTGTTACTAAAGATCAGATTTTGAAGTGTTTTTCTTTTTGTGGCAGTGGAGATATGAATGGAGATGGTTCTAGCTTTGAGCAGTGTTACCGTTGTTACCCAGTCACATTCATTGACAAGGTCTGATTTTGTTTTGTAATCTCAGCTCTCTTTGATGTATATATCAAGATGATAAAGAAAGTGAAAGCGAAACGATTCTAATTTTAGACATTTTAAATGCAGGCACATCTTGAGAAGGGTGACAAAAGTAAATTTACTATTCTCTTCGTTTAGTCTCTCTATAGATAGTTTCTTTGTGATATATATCTCTGAGTATACTTGTGATCTCTGCAGTTATCATGCCTCCTTCCGCTCTCGATCGTCTTGGTAAGCCGTTAATACTGCATCTTCTAATGTTATTTTAGTCTTTGCTTGAACTTTTCTGCCTTATCAATAATGTTTGTGGTTTCTGAATTCATCTTTTTCAGCTTCTTTGCATATTGAATACCCAATGCTGTTTCAACTGAGTAATGTTTCTGTTGAGAAGACCTCACATTGCGGTGTACTAGAATTCACTGCAGACGAAGGCCTAGTTTACTTGCCGTATTGGGTATATACTTGATTTTCATCTTCTTGCTTTTTGTTTCTTTCACTAGTTTCTTAATCTGATCTTCTTTGTTTCTGTTGGCATTACTTATAGATGATGCAAAACATGTCTCTTCAAGAGGGAGACGTTATGCAAGTTAAGAATATCAGCTTGGTAAAAGGGACTTACATCAAGCTGCAGCCTCACACTCAAGATTTCTTGGACATTTCCAACCCAAAAGCCATGTTTGTAGTTTTGAAACTGAATCATTTTCACTCTATTGAATATGGTTTTGAAGAATGTGTTTCTTATCATTCCTCTTTGCAGCTTGGAGACTACGCTTAGGAGCTACTCTTGCTTAACCACGGGTGATACAATTATGGTTCCTTATAACAACAAGCAATATTACATCAATGTGGTTGAGGCAAAACCTTCTTCAGCTGTGAGTATTATTGAAACGGATTGTGAGGTTGATTTTGCTCCTCCTCTTGATTACAAAGAACCTGAGAAGCCACAGAAGTTGACTCCCTCAAACAAACGACCTCTCGAAGGTTTGCTCATTTGGAAATTATTCTCTATTGTGTTTCGATACCATTCTTTCTAGAAGTAATAGCCCTCATGTTGTACTTCTGTTTTCTTATTTTGTCAATTGCAGTTAAAGAAGAAGAAGAACCTGCCAGCAAAGTTCCCAAATTCACGCCGTTCACTGGATCAGGAAAACGTTTAGATGGAAAAGCACAAACACAAACTGAACCAGAAGATACAAAACAGCAAGAAAAGCCAACCGAAAATGGGAAATACGATGAGAAGCTGTCAGTTACCACACCACGGCAAAGATCAGGAAAGCTTGTCTTTGGTTCAAACAGCAAACCATTAGCTGCAAAAGAAACAGTGAAAGTATGTCTCTCTTCTCTAGATTATTCCATTTATGTGATTCACTTTAGTCATCCATTGAAGATAACTGATAAAGTATGGCTTCTAAATGTGTATATAGGTTGCTCCAAAGAGCATCGAGCAAGAGAGTTCAACAAAATCCGATGAAGCTAAGTTTCAAGTCTTCACAGGGAAGAAATACTCACTCAATGGTTAAAAACAGGGTTTAGACGCTTCTGCTGAAGATAATTTATCTGTTTAAGCATTCATACATTCTCTCGTCAGTTTATCGGAACAGCTAGGATGGAACCTAAGCGCGACCTGGACCCCTCAGGATACTACAGATTTGTCTGAAAGCTTTGGTTCTTTAACTTAGATGTGTCGGACCATCCTTTTAGGTTATTAATATGTTCCTAGCTGATATGTTTTGAGACTGAAAATGAACACATCAGAAATTTCGAGTAGGGACTATAGTTTTTTTCAATTAATCATACACAACTTTCTCATTCATCGACCTTGGTAAATTGTTGGAAGATGTAACAATATCATCATCAATCCTTTATTACAAAACGCAAACTATAAGCAGAGCGAAATTAAAAAAAAAATCTTATTAGAAGCAATAATTTAGAAAACAAAAATATTCATTTGCTAACAAAGTCCCTCATCACTAAAAACATAGAAGAACAAGAGAGTGCTTTTTTTTTGGTGAATTGTGTTATTGCATTCTGAATTAAAATTTACAATTGTAACAGTGACGTTTCTCTTACGTCGGAATAACCTGTGGTTCAAGCGGCGGAGGAGCTCCTTCATCTACCACAGGCTCCACTGTCGGCGTAGGGGCTGAGTCTTTCTCACTCTCCTCAAACCCAGACTTGAACCGGTCATAATTAGTCACCTCGGCGGACTTAAATGGACGTTCACCTAAAACTTTTAAGAGATCATCCTGATGCAACACTTCTTTCTCTAGTAAAAGCTCGGCGATCTGAGCCACTTTCTCTTTGTGTTCCTCAACCAGCTCTACGGTCCGCTCATAAGCTTTGGCCACCCATTCCCTAACTTCTTCGTCTATGATAGCGCCGGTTTTGTTGCTGTATGGTTTAGAGAAGTCGTAGCCATCATCCCTTGGTGGAAACGAGAGCAGGCCAACCTTATCGCTGAAACCGTATACAGCTACTTGCGCGTACGTCATCTTTGTCACCTTCTCTAGATCGTTCTGCGCACCCGTTGAGATTTTTCCTATCAATACCTGTATTGAAGAAGTACCAGAAAGTTAAAACATCTTGAACCGTAGCAACATTCCTATATTTTCTGTTGAGGAACGAAGAGTGGAAACACGGTAATGAAAGTTCATCCCTTTTTCTTTTCGGGATGTCCAATTTAATGTGAAATGTTGAAGTAGCAATTAGGGTTTTTACCTGCTCAGCTGCACGGCCACCGAGGGTCATGCAAGTCATGTCAAAGAGTTGCTCTTTGGTCATGAGAAGGTTTTCGTTTGGAACATATTGTGCAAATCCGAGAGCCGCTGTGCCACGTGGCACAATAGTCACTTTCAGCAAAGGCTCTGCGTGTTCGAGGAACCACCCTACAACCGCGTGCCCAGATTCATGATATGCAACCGTACGTCGCTCCAACTTGCTTATTACCTGCTCATAAGTAATCAATTCAGATAAAACCATTTCCAAGCTTTTTGGAAAAGCAGAGAAAATAGCAAAAAGCATTGTCAAAAAGGAGAAAGCATTTTACCCGGTTTTTCTTCTCAAGACCACCAATAACACGATCAATTGCAGATTCAAAGTGTGCCATTGTAACCGTTGCTCCTTCGTGTCTAGCAGCAATAAGAGCTGCTTCGTTACACACATTCGCAATGTCAGCTCCAGCAAACCCGGGAGTGAGAGCCGCAAGCCTTTGAGAGTAATATGATGGCTCATGATCGAGTTTGATCTTCTTCAAGTAAATCTGGAAAATCTGATCACGACCTTTAATATCAGGTTTATCAATGGTTATCTGGCGATCAAAACGTCCAGGCCTTAACAAAGCTTTATCCAAAATATCCGGTCTGTTGGTCCCAGCAAGAACCACAACTCCAGCGGTTGTACCAAAACCGTCCATTTCAACTAGCAACTGATTCAGAGTGCTTTCACGTTCATCGTTTCCGCCTAAACCTCCACGACCTCTTGCCCGACCAATCGCATCAATCTCATCTATAAATATAATGCTCGGTGCAGCTTGTCTCGCCTCTTGGAACAAATGTCTCACCCTCGAAGGCCCAACACCAACAAACATCTCCATGAAATCTGAGCCAGAAATAGACAGAAATGGCACACCCGATTCTCCCGCTGTGGCTTTTGCTAAAAGGGTCTTTCCGGTTCCAGGCGGACCGACTAAAAGTGCCCCTTTCGGAATTTTAGCACCCAAATCTTCATACTTCTTTGGGTTCTTAAGGAAATGTACAAACTCCATAATTTCTTGTTTAGCCTCGTCACATCCAGCAACATCCTTAAAATAAATCTGGAGAAGAAAACAACAAAAATTCAGTTTATAAATTCCAATAGGATCATTAAAAAAAAGGCAAAACTCTAACCTTATTCTTGGAATGTTTATCCGCTCTCGTTATTGTGGCTTTGCCTATATTGAAAATTCCACGACCATTCTTACCACCGGTTCCTCCTACACCCAATCCACCTTGCATCCGTCTCGCCCCATAGATAAGAGTACCCAAGAGCAATAAAGTCGGTGCAAACCTCATGAACTCTTGATACCAGACCATTTCAGAGACGTATGTGACAGGAACATATTCATGACGATCAACACCTAACGCTTCTTGAGCTTCTTCGAGTTTCTCCTCAAAAGAATCAACACTACCGATATTGAAGTAGTACTTATACTGACCACCTGTTCTTTTAGCAGGAATACCATTACCATTGCCATGGACAACGTCAGTTGTTTGTTGGTCTTTCGGTGAGCTCCTCACATAGACTTTTGCTACTGATTTGTTTGAAACATCTATGTGGTCAACTAGACCAGGCTCGAGAAGCTTGTTTTTAAACTCCTGAAAACTAATCTGAAACAAAAAAAAGGTAACAGGGGATATTAGTGGAAAACATACGAGCAGAACTACATCTGCAGTTCCCATATCCAAGAATATCACAAAGCTTAGTTTAAATATACTTGCCTGTTGTTGGTCCCCAGAGCCAAACGAGAAAGAAGAAAAGAACACAGCAAGAGCTAATAGAGGAATCAGTAAATTTTGGAATCGATTCATGAACATATCTCCCACGTTCTCATTTTCATTCTTCTCTGAACCCTCTGTATTGCAACAAAAACATATTCACTCATTAGAATCCTTCAGTAGCACCAACATCTTCAAAAGCTAGGTTGTTATAGAAATGACTCATGCTTTTTTTAATTCTATTTAGCTACACAAAATACTGACCATAACTTCTAAATAGCTAGGTTACATTCATTGGTGAGAATCAAGACAGCGGTAAAAGCGAAAACAATGGTATAAAGATGTCTTCAAAACAATCAATGTTTTACCTTTATGCTCTGATTTCTGATCACTCTTGGGTTCTTGCTTTGTATCTTTAGGAAAATAGTTCTCATAATCTACACAAATCATCAAAATGTAGACAACAACAAAAAACACTAATTTAGAATCAATTCTCAACACTTAATCAAAAAAGTTAAGAGCTTTTGCAAACATACTCTTCTTCTTAGGAGCTTCATCAGAAAAGAATCTACGAAGTCTTGGATTAGCAAAAACACCAATCAAATCATTATTGACTAAACCCTTCCGTGAAGCTAAAGCAGCAAAGTGTCTTCTTATAAACCCTAATCCACCTTCCACTTGATTCACAGACGCCGCCTCAAGACCTGGCGAAGCAAGTAGCCTTGCCTCGTTTAACACCGCCGATCTAACACCACCACCGTACAAAAACCCCTGATTTCATATATAAACAAGAATCAGGAGAGAAACAAAAAAAAACACAAATTGAGAACGAATCTGAGAAGGAATCAATGAAATGAAACAAACCCTTGAACGAGAAATGGAGCGATTAAGCTTAGAGAAGAAGATCATTGTCGTTTAGGAATCACGAAGAACAAAACTTAGTTCGCATAATAGTTAAGAAAAATGGCGAAATCGAAGATCTGAAACGAAAAAATGCAAACTTTTTTATTGGGTTTGTGGAATCAAAAATCAAACAAGATAAGAAGAGATTAGGGTTTTTGATTGGGGAAAATAAAAAGTTTGGGTTTTTAATTTTTTTTTTTTTATATCTGAAGTTTATCGAGAGAAGAGAAGGTTTATGAGATGTCTCAAAGACATGACTCTGTACTTGTTGTTTCTGTGGATTATCCTTGAACCGGTTTTGTTTTACAGAATCCAACTTGTGCTTACCGGTTTTTGTAAACCGGTTTTTGGTTTTTGTTACTCAAACCGATTTCCGAAAAGGCCTAATTTTACACATCTTGGGCCTTGGAGAACATATGGGCTAGCTTTTGTCATATAATAAGAAAGAAGGTCATCAATTGATTGAAAATAAAAGTGATAGATACAAACTTGAATAAAACTTTTCCTCCAAATCACTTACAATCCTTATGTAAAAAATAACCTCATGGAAGAAAAAATTATGATGTTTGTGTTTCTGATCATCCAAATTTCAAGTTTGTAAACACTTTTTAGGAGAGAGGTCACTCTATGAGTTTTTCATTTTCACATCTTTGGTTGAATAGTCATCGAATGTTCACTAATTCGTAGAGTTGAAAGCATAGTTCAGTCCTTAAGAAAGGGAATACACTCCAAAAGAACAACTAAAACATCAATCAAAAACATTGAAATGAGTTGTACAAAACATGACTTAAAAAAAATCAAAATGACTCCAACAAAGAACACGAAGAAAATCAAGCAAACAAGCAGTACAACACATATCAGTAACCAGTAAACATCTTCTCATGGAATTACTTTACACTATTTTGGTGTAAGTTTAATTTCAAAAGAAGCGAAATAGACGCAAAATAAAATAAAAGAATATATAAGATGGTATAAAAAGGTATAAGTAACAACTTGAAGTAAACAGACGCAATCTCAGATCACCTGGTGTGTGAAAAAGTTTTGTTTTCGTGAAAAAATAAAAGAGAACCAGTTCTCAAATTTAGGTGGATCTATTGTTATATGATAGTTAGAAGAGAAAAATAGATCATAAACCTTAAAACTAATTTATACTCTATGTTGACTTTTCTAAAAGAATCTATGGTTAGTCAACAATAAACATCTTCCATTAGCATTTACAAAACTTCAAATTTTCCGGCTAAAAAAAACATAAAATTTGAGATTATATTGTTTTGTGGGAAATTGACTCTCTTCCTAATTCGAAACATGAACTTGTAGTTGTCATGGTTTTATATGGGTTTATTTTTATACAATTTTTTTAGCACATTGTTTCATTGTTTTATATGTATCATTAAGTACTAACCATCACATGGTAGAGCCGTACGTAGCATATCATCAGTTTATTTTATTTTCAGTATCTGAACCATTAACTAAAAAAGGTATTAACCATCATCAACGAAATGCTCTGCATTATTGTTAATGAAACAATTACGTAACTATCTTTTTTTGCTAAAGAAGAATTATGGCTCTTTAAATCATACATTTTGACAAGAAAAAAACAATTATAACCACTGGCGATATATATGATAAAATTATAAACATATACATAACTTGTCCCTCATAAACAATGTATAGGAACTTGTTATAATATTAAAAATATATAAGGTTAAAACTATACGTTTCGGTTACTTCACGTATCTAATCCAAAGGAATATCGATCGTGTTAATCCCTAGCTACTCTCCCCTCTTTTCTTTGTACACGTTTTAGTCGTCTCACATCAAATCCTCTATCACATATATATAAAATTTATAATAGGAAACAACAAAGATTGAGAGAGACACTTCCAAGCACAAATCATGTGAAAACTTTGAGGTAGGGCTTAATTAAAGAGGGGACAAATTGGATAAGAAAGGGTTGGAGTATGTTAAATCAATGTCCACCAAACCCTTGGAATGGTTTAGAGACTCTCAAGTGGACCAATACAAAATCATTTTACTCTGAAACGAATCTCTGATTCTCTGACTTTAGACAGAGACAAATCGGGGACAATGAATTAGATTCATTTCAATCTTCTTCGTTTTATGGAAGTCGAGAGTTCCACGTAAGCTTAGTTACAAAGTGTGTTAGGTCTCATGCACGTACCCAACTATGGACACGTGGCGATTCGTTTTATCACGAGACTACAAATATGTTTTGTCTCCTTTCCACGGCTCAACGATTTATGTACTTCCGTGTTTGTGACATACAATAATATTATTGATAATGGTTATCTAATCGAATTATTTAGTTGATTAAATACTAAATACAATTACTTATGAGTTATGACCTTTACTTTTTTGGAATGAACTTTTCTTATGGCTTTGTATAACTCATAAATACTACCATTTAAAACCTTACAAGTAAATAAATATAACACGTTTGCTTCCGTACAAACAATTACGTCTACCTCAGCTCATTATATGTCTGAACGGAATCTTAAACAAAGATCCGAAATTATTGCATTGTAGAATGATAGAGAAGCAAAAATATATTATATACTAAGCACTATAAGGATAAATCAATCGAATATTTAGGATCCAAGAGGTTAAAAAGAAAATTCAAAATCCAAATTTGGCGTGTGCTTCGGATCCAAACATAAACGCAAATATTTCAACGCAACTGTCACAACATGATAGCAATAAGCTAGTTGGAAATGTACATTAGAGTGCAAAGATATTTCAAGAAAGTCCAAAGCAATAAAAATAAGATTCATTGAATTGCAACTTTACATAAGATTTTTGAGAATACAATTTTACAAAAGAAAACGGGCCAAATTGGAGGCCAATTCTAAAGTTAAAAAGAAAAATCTCTACTAATAGAGAAATTAAAGATGACTTATTCGACTAAAAAAAAAATCCAACTATGCCTTAGGCTTAAATCGGGGTTACTCTTATTGGTAAACCCTTCTTGGGTACAGGGAAAGGACCATACTGTATACCTTCTTCACCTCCTATCACTTCCCATCTGCAAATTAAAACCCATAACTTCATCAATTATTATTCAATCATAAGTAAATTATTTGATAAATAATAATAGTAAGATTGAAATATACAAACAAAGTGATATCAAACGAGATTCACATCTTTTGTGTTGGACCATATATGGAGTAAGTACTAATTTGACAGGTCGCCGATTCACATGTTTTGATAATTATTTTGGTACTACAAATTATTGTTGTCAACAAATATCTACTCGTATGTATTCATGAATGGAAACAAAATCTAAGATTGATTCTTATATTACAGCTGGCAATCTCTTTCCAAGTCTTTACAATCACAACTTATTTTTTTCTCGTCATGGGTTCATAATTCATATGGACCCTTCGTGATCACAAGTTCAAACTAAACATCTTCAACAAAACACGTAGTTAATATATCAAAATAAAAGTTTTTAACGCATATATGACATCATTAAGTGATGACGTCTTAGAATAGTTTTGAAGCAATGTAGTATCATAGATGAGGACTTTAAGAGAATTGTGTTACGGTTAATTCTATCAATTAGAAGAGACTCGTGTTATATGGAGTAAAATGAAAAAAGGTGGTTAAAGTTACCTCTATCAATCAGAGGGGTAACTAAACTTACAATATCTAAAGCATATAGGATCTACATAGAAACCTATTTTCAGAAGTTTATTTTAGAGAAGGTTTTTCCCTATGGTTCTTTTGTTTATGCCTAATTTTGTCATTAAAAATATATATTTTAATCCGAATTATTTTATTTAAAATACCTGAAGGAAGTAGTGAGGTGGTGAAGGAGGATAAGCATCTCAAGTTTAGCCAGCTCACTTCCTGGACATGAGTGCACTCCATTTCCAAATGGCATATACGTGTAAGGTTTTGGTGCCACCTGTCGACATTACAAGATGTCAGCTCATGCAATGTAATAAGTCCATCAAAGTCCCCACATAGTTGACTTAACCCTAGATTTGGATTTGAGTTCCATCAATGTTTTACTCTTATTATATTCATGCATTTTTCTATCTTTCACCAACAATAATTTGTAGTAGGTCAAACACATCCATATACATCATCTAAAGGAATCGTTCCATGTCTCAATGATTTTATCTACCATGCCTATGTCTACGTAATTGATAATCTTAACCTTTTGTTTATTTACATTTATACCTCGAATCTAGAAGGGTCAAACTTTTCGGGATTGGGGAAGAATTCGGAGGAGTGATGGATTCGCCGGAAAAGAGGAAGAACCTTCCAACCTTTTGGGATCAAGTAGCCATCGAATTCGACGTCTTGTACTGCTTCTCTAAATGTAAAGGACAGTACACTTGCTGCTCTTAGTGTCTCTTGTATCACCTACCAAAGTACGTATAGTAACCATTAATTGATTGTACGATCCAATAATATGACATAATCATATTTATCAATATATTGAAATGGTATATATACCCTTGTGGTCAGTGGCATTTTTCTTGTATCTTCCCATGAGATTCCTCGGTTTTCTTTTCTTATTTTTTGTCGAATGCCGACTTGCTCCCTCTATTAAAAAAAAAAAGTTTTACATAAGAATAATGAAATGGCTTATTGGCTAGATAACCAAATTTTTTGTATTAAAAATAAATAGTACGTAATTTGCATGTGATTTAAATAAGTAGTGTAATCACATATAAATCGAGTTTGATAAGATGTAACATATTTATTCCTAAATGGATCTCTCGCAATACGCACATGCAAAAGATAAACTCAAAAAAAAAATAAAAAAAAAATATATAGATAAAGTTGCTTACCGAAACTTCTTGGAGTAGATTGGGGTGGTCGTGTAAGTACTTGAGAAGCCAAGTTAAGACAGAAGCGGTGGTGTCAGTGGCGGCGAAGATAACACCAATGATGTTGTCGGAGATCTGTGAATCGCTTAAGCCATTGCGTTTTTGATCCTTTGCTCCGAGAAGTACTCCCAATAGTCCTCCTTCTTCTCTTCCATTCTCTCTTCTCTTCTCTATCACTTTCCTTAGTTCCTCGCTTAATTCTCTTCTTGCCTTCAATTTTTTAATCACAAAAAACATATTTATTTAATAGGTCCCTATTTACTAACCCGACTATTAATTAGCTCACTAAAATAGAATAACATGAATGGAAGTATTTTCATCACATCAAACATCAACGCTTGAATATGACTTTGTCTTTACGTTTTTGTGAAAAGAATCTAACCTATGTCGAATAATATCGCACACATGTGGTCCCCTAAAAAAACCAAACTGTTACAATATTTTGTTTTTCCAATATTCTATGTGGTATATTACAATTCTACATGTACTTGTCACGTTCTACGTACAAATTCCTTAAGAAATTTAATCTCTATGTATAACAATCGTGAGCTTCATATATTATACGTTATACATACATAGTTCATAAACTTTATATACCTTCATGGATTTATGAAAAAGTGTGCCCGGTAGGTCAAGAGGCATGGAGTTGTAACCTCTTTCGAGACGTTGATAGAGACGCTTAATTGCTTCAATTGCAGTGGGCTCCTCTTTGTCCCCGAACGCTGACATGATCGCCACATCGAATGCATACTACACCCACAAAACCAATTCCCCCCTCTCAAATTAATTATTTCATAAAGATCTAATACAAAAAATAACCATAGCAGATCTTGAAACACAAGGGTTCTACTATACCAAAAAAGGAAATCAACTTCTATCGGTTCATAAAATTGTGTTTTAAATTTAGTTTATATGTTTCATCAAAAGTACAATTTTTTTTTTCGAACATTTATTATTAAGAAAAAGAAAAAAAATATATTTAAATAATGGTAATGCAAAAAACACAAGTTCCAAGCTTTTTTTTTTTTTTTTTCTATTTTCTTCTTTTAAAGAAGTGAGGCCCGCAAAATTTGGAATTTATTTTGTCAATATTTCTTTTGGCAAGCCTCAAGGACCAATGGACCATCCATGCATATAACCCAACATAGACCAAAGAGACATACTCGTTTCATGTATTCGAGGGTGTTGATGGACTTTTGGGATGTCCAAGAGGAAAGAGTTTGGAGGACAAGGAGCTCGATGTGAGCAACGGTTGGTCTGAGAGCAGAAGGCATGAAGGAAGACTGAACGAGCCGCTTGAGGGTAGAATGGTACGGACCTTGGTGGAAGAAGAGAGCCTCTGGTCCAATCATACGCTCTTTGCTAGGTGGATAAGTTGGCTTGAATAAGTGAGCTTTGCTCACTAACACCATTCGAGCCGCTTCTGGACTGCTTATCATCACACATGGACATCCCAATATGTGTGTCTTGAATATCTCCCCATACCTGCGGATCAGATATTTCACACTTAGACTATTTTCGAAATTTGTGCAAAAACATTATTTAAAACATTGAAAGTGATTATTGTGATTAAAACTATAGTGAAAGGACGCAACTTTGGTTGGATTTATAATGTGAATAGTTCAACCACAAGACTACCATGATTTGTTTTTTTTTTTTAAATACGTTTTTCGTAACAACAAATCTTTTGCTTAGCGGTCAATAGTTTACACGAATGAGGACTGATTAAAATTCTTGTCCCTCTTCACCATCCCCTCCAAATAACTTAAAATTTACCATCAAATTTATAGGTTAAAGAATACAATGAACGATACACCTAAAGTGAATACTTGCCTATTTATGTATGTAACTATGTAGGAGAAGAAAAGAGTACTTGTTTTGGCGAGTGGCGAAGAAGGAATTGGGATTCTCTGTGTAGAGGCGGAGTGTCTCTCCGATGTAAGGCAACCCCATGGAGCCAGGAGGTAGCCGTCGTCTTTGCTCTTTCCGGTGCAGCCACCATTGAATTAGTAACACTACTACTACCACTACTACTACACTCGTTATTGTGATTAGTGCCGATTCATCAACATAAATAGAGGAGAATGAAATTGATGATGATGAGATTTGCATTATTCGGAAGTGATTTGATGAATTGTTGTTATAGTTACGAGTTGTGTAAGTGTTCTTCTTGTTAGTGAATTTTGCTTGAAGAGTATGGAGGGGTTTATATAGCTATAGTTGAGGTGGAAAAGACACTTCATTCCTGGCCTTTCTTTTTTTATTTTTTTTCTAAAATTTATATATTTTTTTATATCTTGTAAAATTTATATTTATGACAACTATAATAATCACAGTTTTGCCGCCAAGGAATACCGTATATCAAAAAAATTTGTTGCAAATGTTTTATAGCAATACAAAATTTGCCGACGGTTTTGGTCCAATAAACACAAACTTGAAAACTATCTATATATAACACTATAATTCAGGACTTATCACTTTACTTGTTTTCTTATCAACAATTGATTTTACTCTTTGTTTTAATTAGTATTTACAAATAGATATTTATACACACAAAGTGTTCGATCGGTGCAGTACTCTTTATGTGGTTATCGTTTGCTATCCTTTGTTGTTCTACGATTAATTATTTTCAAAATAGATTTATATTTTGTGTTGATACGAAAACCTGTACGGAACAAGAAAGGAAAAAATAATGTGTAAATTCATTGGTATTTGTATATTTAGACTGTATTAATGTTTTTATTTTACTTGCCCTTTGGCTAAGCCCACACTACACTTTAGTGACCACAGAAAACAAAGACTTTAGTTCATCATTTTTATTTCTTTGAGATAAATGGGATCCACTGAAAATGTTGTATGGTTGAGTTCTCTTGTCAGCAAGAAAAAATCTAGCAAAGTTAAACTCCTTTTTTCTTTCTTGTAGAAAATATTAAAACTTCCATTAATTAAACAAATACTACGTTTGAGTTTTTCCATATTTGTTTTATGACGATGAATCTTTTCACTGTACGATGTGATAGTCAATTATTTTTACGTATATAGACAATGACGATAGAGGATAATACAAAGTATCTTTACTTTTGCACTAGACAACAATTGATAACATGATAATTAAGAAAATAATAATATCGTTTCTTTGAAAAATGGATCAAAATTTATTAAGTGTCGATAGTTCAATTAGTAAAAATTCTCAGACAAAACTTATAAATCATCGGTTCAAATAGCACTTGGAAAGAGACAATATAAAATACGTTGGTCTTTCATTCGAGGGGATGTACGAGCCTAGACCCAAAACTTCTTAGTATTTTTTTTTAAAAAAAAGATCAAAATAAATATTTTACTATCTTTTACCTCAGTCATTTTATAAAATAAGAGGTTTCAAATTACTCTAGTCACCAAAAACCTTATTTTCTAAACTATTTTTGAAAACTTAATCTTATTTTGGTAAATTACATACTTTAAACTAATGTTATCTTAGTAAATGAATCACTTAAAATTGAAGTATATGGTCGTTCGTTGTGGTGAAAGGGCTGTATAGTGGATAAGTTGAATAAAGATCTTTAAAATATAAATCAAATAACATTTGAAGGTTTGAAAAAATAACATAGCCCGTGACATCCTGAGAATCCACGTACGCGTAACGAAGAGACGAACCAGAGATCACTGCAAAATGCAGTAACCGCTTCGCTGAAACTCCTCAGCTATTCACACTTCAGCTTTTCCTCCTCTTTAAGAAACTTCCCTTTGTTCTTTTTTTTTCTTTTTCTTTGTTAAGTCTTGTAGGTATATTGTTATAAAAATATAAATGTTCTTATCATTATTCTCATAATCATTTTTGGTCGGCGATCGCATAATGATGAAATTTTCTTTATTTGTTGTAGTCAGTCTTTTTTCTTTTTCTCTTTCTTTTTGGGTTTCTCTTTCTTTTTCTTTTTCGTACAGAGATAATGTCTACAAATAAATGACCCATAGCTATGTTCGTACAGAGATAATGTCTACAAATAAATGTAAGTATCTCTGTACTGGTGTTACTTGCTGCACAAACTCTAATTAATGGAAGTGCGTTTGATGTATCTTCTTTCAAATATTGAGTAGGCAATTCTTACCATATATATCTATAAAAAAAAATGATCTATAACTTTTTTTTTGATAAATAATGATCTATAAAAACATCTCTCTATTGTTCAACTCGACATTCAATATCAGATTCTCCATCTTCATGATGTATCGGTTGCATAGTGAAGCGTTCTTCACTCGGGCTAAATGACACTCTTCTTAGCTCAAACTCCATGTTTTGTGATGGGCTTTGTGGCCATGGTGTTGTGATTTGCACAGTTGAAGGGCTCGGAGTCATCGATGAACTCATAGTATGAATGGCACTGTTCTTGAAAGAATGCGAATTCATGTCTTTCTCATCGAAGATTTTGAAAAAAATCTTTAGCTTTCTCCACAAGGAATCCTCGGAATCATCACCAAGAGTGTGCCTATGTTCGTACAAGAAAAGAGCCACGAAGACGAGTAACGAAAAAAATATAGCAATGCCTACTATTAGAAATAGACCCAAGAAGCTACTGAGGCTGAGACGGTTGGACGAAAGAGCGGTCTTTGGATCAAGGCAATGATCCTTTTTCGGGAACCATCTGTTCTCGATTTCTTGCGTTACATTCTTTTGAGTTAGATTCAAGATAGCCCTTGAGAATTCTCCAGTCAAAGGTGAATTCTTCGGGAATGCCTACACATTGATCATGGAAACAAAAGATGTGAGCAATGAAAAAAACCCGAATACGTCTTATTCCCCCTTATTTTGTAAAAATACATAGAAAGGAAAAAGAAGTAACTTACAAAGCCAAAACCAGCAGTCTTAAATGTAGGTTCAACCATGACATATTTAGAGCATGATTGAGAAAGGATAGCTTTAAGGTAGGCCACTTCGTCGAAAGCTGCTGCGATTGTTCCATTGGACAAAAGGTCGTCGGCTTCTTTGGCAGAGTAAAAAGGTTTTAGCTGATTTTCATGAAATCCCTGCCCTAATAGAATATCTTTAACGAAAGCACCACCTTGGTACCCTACATAATCCTTATTTTTGATGAGATCGTTTACATTTGTGACCGTTGGTTGCAAACTTTGTACCGTGAGGAAAGAGGTGAGACTCGCTGTGTAGCTCTGAGTGAGAACAAGCACCACAAAGCACCACACAACCACCACAAACCTTGCTAAACTGCTCACTACCTTCTCACCTATATGCACACGTACAAGTTTTCACTTTATCATTACAATCATAAAATAAGTTGAGATTTTATCTAAAAATATAAACAATGTAATTTGGTTTGGAGATAAAAGCTACAAAACTTATATATATATATATCATTATTAGATTCTTGGTTGGTGTAAGAACTTACGGTGGGCAAAAACCATGGTGGAGAAGGAGAACCATAAACTAGTACCGATCTGGTAGTGAGGCGGTCCACGGAAGTCGGTGTTGACTCTGTGTTCGAACAGCCACACAACAAAACCAATGAAGAGGAAGAAACAACCGGTGGTGACCCATAGCTCTAAGCTCCAAGGTTCGAGGAACACCCATGTGTTCTTACTCTCATTGTCTCTCACCGGCACCATCATAGAAACTCCAGACTCTGTGTACGGTAACGTGAAGTCAACGTACAAAGATCTGTTCGCTGTGATGGTTACATCTCCAACAACTGCATCCCATGTCTGCTTCATACATTAATATAATATGTTACAAATCTAAATAACATCCAAAAGACATAAAATTAGGGAAATGGTTTACTATGTAATTTTGTGAATCTTTAGAATTTTGTTTGTAAGTACAAATATGGGAAGAAAAAAAGAACTAACCTTGTTATATACTTGGTAAACCAAATTGTTGTAGTCATTCGGAGACTCGAAACTGACGTATTCAAGAATGACTGAATATGGCAATTCCTTAAGAGCAGCTTCAAAGATTTCAATGGCGTAACCCGTTGGGGTCTTTTTGTTAGTGATCGGATCTACGGTTACCTTAACAAAATCAAAGAAGCCTTTCTTCATTGGAACACCCACTCTAAGCCTCTTCCCTGGAATCTCCCATCCTTTTGGAACAACTTTTGACTTCCCTGGCCATATCACTGGCCCCAAATTTGTTTTGTTTGAACTTTCATCCATGAGTCCATCTCTTGGTGTCCAAAATCCGATAGTCCTCTCTTTATTTCCGACAAAATTTATGATCTCAAACTTTGGTGACTGGAGCTGCCCGTCTATGAGATTAAACTCTCCTGCCAAACCATTGAATCTTACTTCCGAGAGAGCCTTTTGAAGACTTGGACCGTAGAGAGAGACCCCTAAGTTCCCCAAATCCGTCCTGTTTTTTGACAAGGTGCTCCCATTATCATACCTTAAGCTCTTTGTGTTGGTTTTCTCCACAGCCTTAGCCAATGCAGTGATTGAATCATACGCCCATAATGCAAAAACGTTTAGATCATCTCTCATCGATGGATTCTCCTTCTTGAACGTTCTTTTCCATCTCAAATGGAAATCTTCGAGCTCTTTCGATTTGGGGACATGGCTCCTCACACCTAACACTCCCTCTATAGTATTTAAGCTATGACCATGGTCGATATGTCTTATCATATGCGTCATTCCATTGGTCATTAACCATACATACCCTTCCTCCATCATCCCGATCTCTCTAGCTATCTGAAAAACCCGTAAAGCGAGACTTGATTGCATGTGGACAACAAATACTCTCGCTTGCCTCTCCATGAGCTTACGAAGTTCTTTTTGAATCTCATCATCGATAGCCTCCTGAGGGATCACACTTCTCTTGACTTCCACGTCTCGTAAAGCGTCAAACAAGAAAGGCATGAATCCTTCACCAAACTCGTTGTCCACATAAATGGCGACGACCCGTCTCCACCTGAAGAATTTGAAAATGGCCGCAATGGCTCTGACCTGGGATGAGTCGTCGATAGTGGCTCTAACGAAGTAAGGGCTTTTGATAGATGTCAAAAGAGGGCTTGTTGCAGAGAATGTGATTGTCGGTACTTGAGTTTTGTTGGCCAGTCTGATCATAAAATCTGCTTGCATAGAGTTTATTGGTCCGATGATGGCGCTCACTTGCTCGTTCTTGATTAGGTCCAAGGCTGCTTGCACCACAAGCAAACATAAAGAAAAGAAGAAAGGTCAAATA